TAGACGGTGTGCTAGACCACCCAGGTCATCAAATATATTTGTTATTACATATATTCAGTAATTGATTTTAATTTATGTAGACGATGATGATAGTGGAATTTTTTATATGAACTGTCAAGTGAATGATGTAGTATGCGCGAGTCATCAATTCTATCCGTCATCTACTGAAGCGTACACTTATTAAGGTTTACGATACGACGCCGAACTATTGACCCTAGTAGAACTAGTTAAGTGGCAAATGATTCCATTTGTAGAGACAGCTTCAGTTGTAACCAAGTGTTTCATACTTTATGACAATTAAAGTACTGAGTACGGAGTAATAATCAATCGATGAGAAAAAACTAATTGTAGATACATAGCGCTGACTATATTATCTGACTGTAGAAAAAATAGCATAGCGGTTTCTATGTTGCTATTATTTTATTCTTGCTCATATTATTATTATTATATTCTTGCTCATTCTTCTTGTGATCAGTTTGCATTCCGAATGAGTGGTAGAATAAAAGAAGCTATATAGTAAGTGTATTTGAATAAAGATTATTTCTATCGAACGATCGATATTTCTTGTCATTTTCCGGTATTATTACAATGATTACTTTAAGATTCGATACTCGATCGATTTTCTTGTCGCCCAGGTCACTTATGAGCCCGACATCCGTTGTCATTAGTGTTGTGGACTATTAAGGATTGATCACTAGCGTCATTTTATCGGTTGGTACAGATTAAATCGTCAAAGTTAATTGACCAAAACGTCAATGAGTTTTTTTAATATATATTTTAAAAAAAGACACATAATAATTTAATTTTTATTTTTGTGAAAAATAAAAGTTAAATTAATACAAATAGATGAAATAGTAGAATATAGTTTATGTAAATATAAGGTTTTTGCTCAAAAGATCAATCTTCAAATCAATTTCAAAATAGTAGCATAATATTTTGAAAATAACTGCCAAATTTGTTATTTACATAACCAATTTGGCGGTTATAGTAAAAAAATAGCATTACTAAATTAAAAGTGCTTAAATTATGGTCGTTAGCCGATTATTTATTTTAATGTACTTTATCGAATTAGATTTTATTTTAGCAAGGTCCAATTTTGTTTATTTCCGTTACCATTATCTTGTGTGAGACCACAAACATTCGGGGGGCGAATTCAACCACCGCTACGCTTCCGTTACGACCTTCCCCATTAGTGATCAAACTCCGACCGTTATTGGTTCTACACCCATACTGCGACACGTTTCACCTCTGAACGACGCATCATCAGGCAATAAATAGACTAAATCGATAAAATATTACAATTAAAAAAAACACAAAAAAGTAATGTGATTGTTCTCTATACAGCGTACTATGAAACTTTTGTTTTTTAAGGCGAGAGATGCATATTAGAAATGTACAGCCAATAACCCCTATGTGAAGAGACGCCTATCAAAATTAAGTAAATCAATTACTTTATTTTTCATATGGCATATAAAATTATCCACGTTGCTCTTTTTGGAAAGTCATTATCACTGACTTTCAACTAACCTGGTGCATACGCGGCTGATGATGATCTTCGTAATAATGATTCGTAAAAAACATAACACCCTCACAACTGTAATATCCCATCCAATTCAAACTGGGATTACCATGGCCTGAACTGACGTTCAAACCTCTAGCGGTGTCCTCAGACTGAACTCGTATTCGTCAAGCAGAAGTTGGCCTCCATAAGGTTTGGAGTGTCGTCAGAACTTGCCGTCGTCTATCTTTCGCTGAAATTGTAAAGGCCAGCTGCAGTCAACAGCATTAGAATAGTCCAAAAAAAGCCTCCATACCCAGTCACCTCCACACACAGTTATTTCACTGTCAAGTCTCATATTCATAGCTCGAAAAAAGAAAGTCCTACACATAAGGCCGAAAGATCCTATATGAATAAATCATTTTTAGTTATTTATTATGTCAAATGATGGAACTGTGTAACAGTAGTGCGGGAACGAGCGTGCGTCTCACAACTCACAAGTGACTTGGTGAGTCATTGCTTGTTGACCGCGCGGGTCAATTGTGCGTGACCGGTTGACCCGGCTGCATTGGATGTTGTGTTAACACTACCTACCGCTCGTTGTATGGTACTTCAGTTTGATTCAGTGCACAGAAATTAGGGCGAAACAATATATGTGTAAGACATGTGCTCTTTATAAATTGAATGATGGAATTTATAAATATATATCGGATAACTTTGTATGTCATAGGGGAAAATGTATGACATTATTTGTACGTGAACGGGATTAGATTGATATTCAAAATTTTACATAAGATCATGACTATGGAAAAAAAATATAGATTGGATTCTATGCGTAGTAGTTTGAAACATTTGTTATTGTAGGCGCCATAGACGCATTTAAAATATGCAGGCATTATTCATATGTAGAGAACCGCCTATGAAAATCCAGTACGTGATATCTACCTACAGAAGCTTATAAAACATGTGAAGGCTATTCTCTACACAAATCTACCTACGAAAACGTTACTGCTATTGGTCTCTATATATGGAAACATTTACATACATACATACACATCTTTTTAGAAATACTGAGCGGACGGAGGTGTCTGAAATTCCACACACTTATAGTTTATATAGAGAAAAGTTCAGAATACCAATATATATATTTTTAATTATTCATACAAAACATTAAACACACTACCGTGTATTTGTGTAACACGCATATGGACTCTTTTGTTTGTTTCTCATTGCTGGTTCAAAGATCTTTTTGTATTTTATGGTCTAATTTCGACTAGTAGTATAATCTAAAGTATGCTTACACATAGCGTGATATTTGAGCTTACGAGCACAATAATATACGTTAATTGAACTGTGGGGTCGCGTGGACACGGCCGGCCGGCCGGTTGTGTAACTGGGCTCAATTGAATCACACGCTGTGACGTAGACACTCCTCGTGGTACATGGTGTCCTAGTAATTAGGATGCACCGTGCACTAGTCGCGGAGGCGTAGTAGGAGTTGTTTTTATACGAGTAGGGATTCTCAATTCAATTTTTATTATTTTAATAACTGAAAATATGGTATATTTAATAATTTGACTGAAATGAAAAAGTATTTGTATTTAAAAGTGTTGGATGATAAGTAGCGAATTAAATTTGTTGACGCTAACAATTTTTATTGCAAATTAGCTGTTTTCTTTATCTTAATGGAATTTAACTTTATTATTATTATAATAAGAAAAAGTAACCTAGTTACTCTTTATAATTTTAGCTATCTGCGAGTAAAAATCCCGTTAAAATCGACCCAACTATTTCAAAGTTTAGTAAGAATAAACAGACAGACAATTTTTTTATGTGAGTAACGTACATACTTTCATATGCATTTAGTTAAATAGAATAGAAAATCATTTATTCAAATAAACTTAATTTAAGCACTTTTGAATAGTCATAACAATTTGTTTTTTATCTACCACTATTTAGTTAAAGGCTGTTAAATTGAAATTACATACAGACACTTCAATTTTATGTTATTTGTATTTCTATAGATATTTATTTATCCAAACTATTAAATATACTACAAAAATTACTTAGCAGGTAGTGAATATAATTGCTGGTGACATGTGCTCGTAAAAAATAAAGCCAGTGCTCAGTGGCTGTCCACCCCTCACTTGAAAACGGAAAAAACCAGTAAGGGGCGATTTGTCAGTTGTCCAAAAATTAACGATGTGTCCTGTCCCCGGCCTCCGGCCCCGACCTCCGCACTCATATTTTGTGCACCATTTCAACGTTTCTCTATATATACTAGGGTTGTCTACGTCTACGCGGACCACGTAAAGTTTATAACCTGTGTGTTATTCTGGTGTATAAGCTATATTATTGTAATCTTTCATTAAAATCTATTCACTACTTTTTGCGTGAAAGAGTAACAAAAATCCAGCTGTTCATCCATTCATCCATACATCCATACAAACTTCCGCGTTGGGACCTTAGATAGCGTTTTTATAAGCTATAATAAAAAGCCCGAGAAAAAAAGTTTCATCATTCTGGCTTCAAAAAAAAAGTTTCATCATTCTGGCTTAAAATATCAAAGTTGACGCTAAAATTTTTAAATGGAAATTCGTTTTCAGATTTTTTTTTGTGGCGCTTTTGGGTTAGATTTAGTAAATATTTTTCTTTATTTAGTCATAGTCACTATCCACGCGGACAAAGTCGCGGGAACAGCAATTATAACTGTAATATAAATTAATTATAAAGTTGGAGCTGTAGATCCGTTGTTTTAGTAGAAAGTTGCCCAAAGGAAACGGGTATTCAGGGCATCTTTTCTACTTCCGTTCCCACATATAATAATTTTTTTTATCAGATCATTATAATAATTGTGGTGTACTAATTACGTTTTGTCAATCTGTTTGTTAATAATTACTTTGTTGATACGAATGGGGAACAAAATCGTCCTTTACAGGGACGGCAGGTGTGTTGGTTATCTGATTTTTTTTATATTGTTTCCGGAGTGTAGCGGTACCCCATGTTTTACGCAAATAACGTTTACTTTCATAAACCAAAATATAGACTTATTTTTTTAAAGATTATAACTGAGTAACCAAATAATTTAAAAAATGTATCAGTTGAGTTTCTTGTCATTTCTTCTCAACCGAAGTAGCTAGACGAAATGAATGTCTGAGATAGTCCTAAATAAGTTTGACGTGGTTAAGTGGCAATAGAAGCCGAGTAGTCTCTAGTGGTTTATCAAGCACGTTACCCAAGCGTGTGCACAACAAAAATCCGCCAAATGCATAAACAAAATATCTCCTTTGGAAAGTTTACACTCTATCCTAATGAGATAAGAACCATCCCTCCTAAGAATATCCTTTAATTTTTGACTCTGACGTGTCTAGGTAGCGAACTCTGAAAAAGGGGGAGCTCAACAGATATATATAGATCGCAGTGCTACAGATCTAAGCACCTGACAATAGCCCAAACAACCCAATAAAAAAATAATACTCAAGCATTTTCTCCTTGTTTGCAGGTGTGAGCGCAAACAAAATAGCGAAGCGGACGGACTTGGCGCCCAACAAGGGCGGGCCGTTCGCGGCCGCCCTTCGGACTCTAGCCAAGAACGCGGGCCCCGACGGCAAAGACGGTAAGTCGTTAGACGCAACTATTGCCCCCACTCCACTGCCACGAGCCACGGTGTGTACACTTTAGTCATTTGTTAGTATGAAAACATTTACTGAATAAATATTTTAACAATTTTATTGGTAGGGACTTTGTATTCAAACATGTAACAAGCAGTGCAGTGCAGTGCAGTAAATTGATGATGATGATGATGATGATGATGATAATGATGGTGACGATCGTGATGTTGATGATAATGATTAAAACGTCTGCCAGAGTATCTCTATTGCAATTACAGCCGCTAAGCAGGTTGTTTTAAGATGAGTTTGGTTGAAGGCCGAGATAAGGCAACGAAATTTCAGCGGCTGAATGAAAGACTTCTCAGTCTGGCAACGCATGAGTGGTGGTTCTGTTATCACCTTGTTTGCCATTCGAGTTACATAGATAAAAATTAGCTACTGTATGAGTTGTTCTAATATGTTCAGTATAGTAATGAAAACAACAATAGAGATTCTAACAATTCTTGCACTGGTACGAAACCGGGATAGCTACATTTACACTAGTACGAAGCCTGGCTTCTCTAGACTTTAATATTATGCTAATGTCAATGAAAAAATTTACGCCCCCTATTAAAACTGTTTTTTGGTAGAAATATCTAGTATAGGTTTCAGAATGAAAAAGAGACTAATTTTGTAATAAGTACTTAAAGTCTACCACCGTCGCTCGTGGCACCAAACCTTTATTGTTTTGTTTTGTTATAATAATATTATAGGAGCCAGGCCCACAAACACTTGTTGGGTTTTGTATCCGTCCATACCTATCTGACTAAATAATATACTTGTAAGATATAAATATTGTGATGATTGACTAAAGTTGTATTACTATTATTATTATATGTCTCTTTAGTCAATCTTTGTGTATTATGTAACGGAATATATATAAGGAGCTTCTATTTACAATGCAATAATATAGCTTTGATTATGTATAGTTTAAAAAATTAAAGTCAGAGAGGACCACTTACAGTGTCAAAATATTGGATTCAAGATGTCGAATGTGAATCCAAATGACCTATTCTGACTTATTCAAAAGACACATTTGACCTAAAAGACCACATGTCGACTAACCAACCTGACTATTCGAAGGAATAGATGTCCGGCTCGAAGGACCAGATGTCCGGCTCAATGGACCAATCCTTTACATGTTGCTTGCGTGATGTTGTCAAAAAAATTAAATGTCTAGTCCAAGAGTTCAGACATCTGGTCAGAGTTCAGGATGGAACAAAGAGTTCAATGAACTGGACTCGGAGGACCATGTTGAGTGTGCGAGTGTGCAGGCACCACGAGCGGAGCGCCCACCCCCGATCGAGACAAAGAGAAGCCACCGCCGGCACCCACGAAACGCGCCTCGCCACACCACCTACCTGCTAGTGGATTTCAACCTTATCGACCTGATGATAGGTGAGTTATTTAGTTGAACTACATTTTTATTACTATATACATACATGAATAAACTTATTCGGTAGAAACCATGTATTGATTTGGATATAGTCTGTGCATCAAATTTCGTCCAAACATTAAGTATGGTTTCTGTATATACTGAAAATAGAGAGATATATACTAGAGGTGGAGAATGCTATATGGCATTAAGCTTCTGCTTTTGTAAAAGAAATAATGCACTATAAAGAATAAGTAAACTACCTAATCAAATATTTAGACATGACTTAACCACAACTTAAAGTGCACTAACTCAAAAATTAATTGCATGGAAAATATAATAGAATAGGCTCATTATTAAGTGAGCTAGATCATTTAAAACCTGTAGTATTTATGATAATGACGATTGTATGTTTGTGTTGTGTGATGTAATGACGATTTAAGAGTCGGCAAACCGCTGATGTCACCCCTGGTGTTTCAGACGTCCATAGGCTACGGTAACCGTTTACCATTAGATGGGCCGTATGTTTCTTTGCCGACGTTGTAGTAGTGAAAAAAACATGTGTAAACCTTGATCAATTCGTTTATAGACTGTCCCACCCTGCGGCCGCGTCGTTCCCGCTGTTAGAACCGACGTACGCAGTAGGCTCGCCGTATGCGCATCCCAGCCTCTACACCAGCGCCGCGCTACAGTACAGGTTAGTAGTACATGAGTATACAGCGACCTAGACCTTGGTGGTCTAGTGGTTTAGCACACCGCCTTACCTCCGATGATAGCGGGTTCGATTCCTCGCAAGGTACAAACATTTGTATTTATTAGTGTGACTGTTTATATTGGTTTGGGGTTTTGCTATGTACATTATATGTGTATTTACAAAAAATGTATCTATTTATTTGTATCAGTTGTCTAATTATAACACAAGTTCTGATTAGTTTAGGACTGAATGGCGCTGTGTGAATTGTTCAGGGATATTATAATTGTTTGTTTATTTATTGTGGACAAACCACAAGATCTAAGAAATGAACTTGATAGCATTCCAGGGTAGCGTTTTCTACCAGAGATAGACTGTAAAAAGTCGTCTAAGTGGGTTCCTCAATCTCACCTGGAGACCAACGAGTGACAGTCACTGCTAATTACTTATTTTCCAAGCAAATTGCCTGGTGTGGTAATTGATGGTGGCATTGTAGTTAGTGGTAACAGTAGTGAGTGCGTCCTCAGGCTAGCTGCGGAGGAGCAGATGTACCTGGAGCGGGTGTTCCGCGGCGGCGTGGGCGTGGGCTGGCTGCCGCCCTACGCGCTGTACCCGCCGCTCGCGCCGCCGCTGCCGCTCGTGTCGCACGCGCCCCACGCGCCGCACACGCCCCACCAGGCCCACCAGGCCCACCAAGCCCATCAGGCACACCAGGCCCACCAGCACGCGCAGCACGCGCTACACGAGGAGCGAGAGAAGGAGATAGCGCTGCAACGGGAGCGGGAGAGGGAGAGGGAGCGCGAGAGAGAGAGGGAGAGGTGAGATATGTTGTGTAGTTTTGGATATTTTGACTAGTGCTGTGAATGCGAAAGTAAGATTTGATTTGCTTGAAATTATGACGTCGTAGCCTTTGATATTTGTTATGAAGGACGTGGCTATTTTTTGTTTTAATTTTGGACGGTAATGAAGTCGAGAGCATTAGTAAGTAGAAAGTAGAGAGTTCAATTATATATTCAAATTCAATGTAATTTACATTCAAATAATATCATATATAAGTAATAAAAGAAATTCCTTTGTTCTTTAACTATTGATATTTTTAATGACGCGTTAAAATTGACACATTAATTAAATAAATTAAAAATGTTTCTATTTTGAATATATTATTCTAACTTGTACGTTCTCCGACAATAGAGAATATTTATAACAAATCAAATTAATATAACTGATAGGCTACTCAGTATATATATACATTTGCTACCTTATAATAAAATTAACTTAGCTAAATGTAAGGCATATTATGTGCCTCTGATTAAATTGAACGGGGATCGAAATTACGACGATCTAAGTCGAGTTTAGAACCCCCTAGCGGTCCCTCCTCTCAGACTATTTGTAGCCGTCGGGCAAGAGTTGGCACTTAGCCGTTCCATAAATCCTTCCGTGGGTATGAAGTGCCACGTGCACTCGTTATATATTTCACGTTCCCATAGCTAGTGGTTTATAATTAAGATCGTTGCTGCATTTAAAAGTGCAATAAAGAATTTATTGATAAATGTTTACAGGGAGCGCGAACAGCGCGAGAAGGAGCAACGGGAGCGAGAGCGCGAGCGCGACCGGCTGCAGCGCGAGAAGGAGAGCCGCGCGCGGGAGGCGTACGCCGCGCTGCAGCATCCGCTGTCGCCGCACCTGCTGCCGCCGCCCGGGTACCCGCTGCCGCGCCCGCTGCTGCCGCCGCCGCTGCTGTACCGCCCCTACCGGCCCTACGCGCCCTACGAGCGGCCCGCCGCCGCGCCCCACGCCGCGCCCGCCGCGCCCGCCGCGCCCCACGCGCCCCACGCGCCCCACGCGCCCCACGACGAGCCCGACGTCAAGGAGGAGCCCCGAGGTGAGGCCCGCGACGAGCCGGCCGCCTCGCCGCCCGCCGGCGCCGCGCCCGCGCCCCCCGCCGCCCCCGCGCCGCCCGCGCCCCCGCCCGCGCCCGCCGCCCCCGCGCCCGCGCCCGCGCCCGTCTGACCGGCCCGCGTCCGCCGCCGCTATGCGTTGACGTACTGATGCGAACTCGCTCACGTTTTATGGTTTCCTGGTACTCGGTGTGTTGTATACTGACAGTAATACATGATATGATTATTTCATTCCCAGACTCATACAGTAATTGCTTATGAAAATTATCATTTAAGACCTGTATATGATAATCGAGGGTTAATTATGAAACGATGTACGACGCCCTGAAACTGAAGGGTAAATATTATAAATCAATTATAAGACCTGTCGTTTTGTATGGATCTGAATGCTGTAAAGGGGATGGACACAAGACGTGGCAGGAATACGAATGTTGAGATGGATCTGTGGTCGAGTGTGGTGTAACCAGAAATGACAGAACAAAGAATGTACATATATGATAAAGTTTGAAGTTGCGCCAGTTATAGACAAGTTACAATGTAACAGATTGACTTGATATGGGTATGTTATTACGTGAACGTGGAAGGATGGAAAAGGAGTAGATGACCAAAAATAAAAATGGATGGATTTTGTGATATGTATAAAAGGTAACTTTTTATATGTTCGAATATGACGACTGATTAGAAATCAGTGAAAGAAAAAAATCAAAACAATGATAATATCATAGTGACTTAACAAATTTATTTATAAAAAAAATAGTATGTATGTATTACGTTATCAAAAATAATGATAAAACTGCAGTCAGTAGCTACCATCTTGGAAACAATAAAATTTGAGGAATCGAATCTACGGTAACGTATGTTGTGTAGGATGTAACGCTGAGTCTGAGAATGTAAGGAGATACCTTCGACTGAGAGTTCTCAACGATCTGGCCGAGTCTGAACGAAAACGAGTACAAAACTTCCAAGTATTATTTCACAATCTCATTTTCGCTGAGACGGACCGAGCCATGCGTCTCGCTCGCGCGTGTGGTCTATAGTGTGTGCGAGCGAGACGGCGCACCGTGACGTAGATTAAAAAACCCGCTTTATATATACAATGTGCATAGTTTTGTATAACCCGATCGAATTTAAAAGACCTCTCGCGGTGTGAGCGTAATATGAATCTAGATGAATATTAATTTTAAAATGTATATGTACAGTGTGAAAGCTTTTCAGGTAAGGTTTATTCTGAAAAGTTATAACTTTTGTATAGGAATACTATAATTGTATATAATACTAACGTCCAATTCACACGGTCGGTTCAATAGAGAACTGATGAAGTGTTGTACAAAATTATATTATACTATATGTATAGAGCTGGTTTTTTTTATACTCTAGAAACCGAATTCCTACCACCGGTGCACTTCGCTACGCTTAATGTCGGCACTATACACCAAGTCGCGTATTCACAAAAACTAAACTCGTACCCATTCTAGCTGTTGCAGTGTTTTGTCCCATTCTTTCACATTGAGAAATACGTAAGAACGTAAACGACGAAAGAATTGGCAGTCATAACTGTTTCAGCCAAGAGAATGCTTTGTCGTGTTTCGGTTGAAGGTAATATGGCAGGGAAATTATAGAGTACAGAAGTGGTATATTAGTCCTATGGAATGGCAACGCATGATTGATATGGGCGTCACATGATAACGTGATGTCCGTAGTTCTCGGGCGTCGGATGATAACGTGATGACATGTTTTGGTCGCCACAAATGGGCCGTCAGCTTGTTTGTTCATCATTAAAATCTATAGCTAAAATGGGTCAACGATTTTGGTGTTTTTTGTGAACACTCGGCAAATTATTTAGTGTTAATAATAAATTGATCAAACTGAGACTTTACGCTGCCTGGTGCAGACACGTGTAGATAGTGGAACAATTATTTAAAATTGTATAATTTTAGTGAGTGTGCATCTCGACGGACTCGAACCCAACGCCGGCCTACGTACTTAATTCGTTGACTATGTGAGACTAACAATGCAGCTATAGGTGATATGTGAGAGGGTGCAGTTTATCAAAGACGGGACGTGTGTCCAACTGAAATTCAATGATTAATATTCATGTAACTGAAGTTTTTTTTTTGTGTATTTAATGCTGAATAGTCTATAACTATTAATGTTTCGAATATATATGTAAAAATAATAAAGAAATAACTAATTAAAACAACAAAAACTATAAACTTTTTTTTTTGTAAAATATACAAATAATATTCTAAAATAAATGTAGCCCAAGTTACTCCTTATAGCTATCTCCTATAGCTATCTGCGAGTTAAGGCACCAACAAGGTTTCAGAGATTAGAAAGGAAAACAGACAGACAATTAAAATAAAAAATTGTCTGTGTATACCATATGTATGTTCATATACATTTAGTGAAAAGCTGTTAAATAGAAATTACAACCAGACAAATTTTGTTTATTTGTATAGGTTGTATATTTATTTATAAAACTTGTTCAGATTTATTTAATACTGTCATTTGGATTTCAGATCGACACCATTACCGCCTACCTCGTAGGTATATATTGTACGACTTTAAAAATTAACACACTCCTGTTAATGTTTTTTTTTAGGAATGTGTAACAAATGATAATAATTTCAGTGATCTAGTGCTGCGTTTCTTAACCTTTTACAATCCACAGACCCCTAGGAAATCATGCGCTGTTTCAAAGACGCCTGTAATAAAAAATACTGGAATAAATTTAAGACAATTTATTTTAGTACTGAAAAAAACCTAGAGTGATCAATATATTCAAAATACATAGGTACATAGCGGTCCACAGGTTAAGAAAGAGTGCTCTGGTGCATTATAGTTTAATATATATTTAAAGAAAAAAAGGCATATTAAAAATATAATATGTTTGTCGTCATTCTTAAAACCTTTAAAAGTAAACCTATGCCACCTATTGATGTTTTGTCTCTTTTGTTCTAAGTTGTTTTTATTAATTTAGCAGAGAGTGACAAAATATTTGTATAGTTTAAAATCGGTTTTAGTTTATAATTGACTAAATAATGCTTAGGGATTGTGTTAATTTTTAAACGTGTTGTATTAAAGTTTATTTTTGCGTATTTTTTTAATGATTATTCAATTCTTGTGTAAATTATATATATATAAAGATATGTGTCTGTAGGTATAAACTTACTATTGTATACAGAATATATTGACAGATGCTGTGTGATAATCTGTTTGTGCGTATGTCTCAATTAGTTTGCGTCCGTCGATTTGATCAAATTGATTTTCAATGTGTTTACCGCTCGTTCGGGGTCTTATGACAATGGTATTAAGGTCCAAAATGTGACGTCTCGAAATTAAAGATATGATTGTTATGAATCTGTTGTGCCATCGTTTGTGTATGATTCTTTTTGCGTTGTTGCAAATACTGTTCCTGTAATGGTGAAACAAATTGTAGTTTTATAAGGTTTTATTTATTAAGTTTATTAGAAAAAAATTAATCTTGGAAAAAATGTAAAATATTTATTCAATATCAGTATTTATCGTTTCTTTTTTTCAAATTTATTCATAAAGAAATTTCTATTTTTACGAAAAATAACGGAAATAAAGTGTCTTTTGCAGTGATTATCTAATGTTCATATTCTTATTTGTAAAAAACGCATATTTTTTTATAATTTATTTGCAACAACGCTATATCGCTCGATACCGTATTAAATTGATTTATGCTCGAATATAATTCATTCGTCAGGTAATATTAACAATATGTATAGAAAAATTAGGGTTTTTTATATATATATATATATATTTCTTGTTTTTAAACTTCTGCAAAGGTGTAAACAGTACTGTATTTATGTTGGAGGCTTAATAATGGATTTGTATGATGTGTTCTTTTAAAGGAATATCGATTTTATTGTTAAAGTTGTAAGGTCTATTTTCAATAAAAAATATCTACTATTCTATACTTTCTTATTAAGCCTACCAATATATGTAATTTATACAAAATTGTACTCTACGTGTAAGTTTTTATTGAAACTATTAATAATCATGATCATTTCATAGTATTTGTTTTTGTAAAAAAAAAATATTTTTTTAATGAATCGATTGTTCTCGATTAAGTGTATTGTTGAGTCGATTATATTGTCATAATCGATTGTCAAATATCGGTGTAGTGGTGTAGGTCGCGGTGTGTGTGTTCGCGACGTCACATCCACGTCGTAATACCATGTAATGTTTGTATGACTTCCATCGAAGTCGCCCGTGCAATCTGCCTTGTGATAGTCCGCGCCCCGTACGAGCCGCAATGTTCTCGAACGTTCCACGTGCGAAACATACAACAGAAGCAACCTCTTTATATGTTAAACTTAGATAGACATTAATTTAGTTTGTAATAGGTGTTCAATATTACGTTTTTATGGAAATTCGCATTTAGTCGACGTATCAGTGTACGGATAATGTAAATATTATATTTAATGATTAGCTATGATATGGACAATACCTAACAAGTGAAGAAATATGATTTTATTGAAATACATTCAATGGAATTTAATATGTGCATGACAAGTTTTATTTTTGGTTACTACCCACCCCTCCCGAGCTCAGCTTGTAGCATGTAGTTAGTATGTTATGTGTTCGTTGATTATTACAGGGATGTGATCATTTTAGTGTTACGACCACACCATTGAGGTTTCACGACTATAGTCTGTGTTTTTTAATCCCGGAGACTAAATTGACAAGGGTAAATGTCAAATTTTCAAATAATGTTACCATCTATAGTGGGATAGTGGTGTACCTGCAATATTGATTTGTTTAATCGGAAACTTATATTTTAACATATTAATTTTAAAGCTATAAATGACATTTTTATAATTTACATACATATACGTGTTTCCATTAATGTCGTAAAAATACATTTTTGTCGCTTCCGTACGATTAGTAATTTTTACAGTATTAAGCTACAAACCAAGATTTTTTTCTTTCAAACAGCTAAGTATTTTAAATAGGTGTTTGTTTTATGATTTATGACAGATTATGTTTTATAAAAAATAAGTTAATCTTTATTTTAGTGAAAAATAAAAAAAATATATTCATTAATATAACCATTACTTTATTAATTTTGTGTTAAGGCGTTTTAAATGAACACCGACACATTATTTCTGAATACCCTATAAAAATGGGTAAATAATGTTAATTTCCGATAATGCCACAACCCTATTTAAAAAATGCAAAAACATGGCAACATCCGAAGTGTCATATTTGTCTCCGGAATTACAAAACAGACTGTAATTGTACACATTGTAGAATCATATTTTTCTATGATAATAGTATAGTATTTATAGACTGCCTTTACTTCCGATGGTCGCATGTTCGATTCCTCACACGATACAAACTTGTATTCATGAGTATGATTGTTTGTATCGGTCTGAGTGTTTTCTATGTATATTATGTATTTGCAAAAAAATGTATATAAGTATTTATATCAGTTGTCTAGTACCCATAACACAAGCTCTGCTTATAGTGGGACTAGATGGCGCTGTGTTAATTGTCCAGAGGTATTATTATTATTCTACCACCACAGGTTTACGGTCACTTAATAGACTATTTTCTTATGATAAAATTGCAATAACTAATTGAATTTATAAATGAATCTGTAATTCTGCTATCATGTACTAGTATCAGCTCATTTGAAAAGAATAAAAACTGCGTTTCTTATTGGTTCTTCTTAGCTGGAAAGTACTTCAAACTGAGATTTGACAGATCATAAGAGCCTATAATAGACCTACATGAATAAATATATTTTTTTAATGATTTGATATGAGCTCCCGTGTGGATTAAGTATCAAACACAATCGTAATTAAAATGCAAAAAAGAGTATGTTTTTGCCTGCGTTGCGCACTTTGGTACTAGTCTCTACAAATATAATTAATGGCAAAAAAATTAAATCTGTTTTGGCCCTTGGAACATATAGGAAAAATAATTATTGGCCTAAGGCTTCAAAAGAAATTTTTATTCATATAAACTTAATGTAAGCACTTTTGAATAGTCATATTTTTTTTATTCCACCACTCATTCAGAACCCAAACTTATCTTAAGAAGAATGATAAAAATTGGTGTTGCTTTTTTAAATTAATGATATTCAGAATTGCATTTTTGTAAATTTTGTTGTATATAAGCAGCCAAATAGCATAATGTATTAAAAAGCTACTTGAGTAGCAAAATATATCAGTTATTCTGACTCGACTATTTTAAACTGAAACACACAGCAAAGGGATTACAATAAATATTATTCAAGATTCTTGATCAGGAAGAAGAAAGAATCGAGATACCTAACTAAATCTCCCTCCGTCAGTAAATTGGTAGGAAATATACATCACCAGAATATCGTTTCTATAAATAATTATTTGGCTTGAATACACAATTAATACTGGGATTACATAAACTGGAAGGTCATCAACAGTTTTTATTTATTTTTAATTTACCTTCCAAAACTGCGACAGCAATTATTGTCGTATTCATAAGTACCAGGCTCACAGTCCAATGAGGTTTCAAGTCGTGAAATTAAAATAGTAAATTTTTTTTGGTGTTCTATTCATAAAATCAGCATTTACTACGTTTTGGTGCGAAATTTATGCCAGGTCTGCATAAACTACCTACTTGAGATTACAGAAGAGAAATCATGCTATCCCTTTTTATCGCATTGTCAGAGTGTAACCTACAAGAGTGAGTGAGATAAACATCTGTAACTTTCAATTTCAAACCTGTTTGCATTGGTTCGTCGTCATCGTGCGATTTGCTTATAATTTATGCACTCCTAGTATTTACACCACTGAAATTTTATGAGATTGTGAATCAAGGAAGTTGTAATGTAGTCTCAGCAAAAAATAAAAAAATACAGAAAAATATTAATTTCTTTTCTATTAATAAAATGGTAAACTAGCTAATTATCAACGTAATGGTAAGTGGTAAACGTCGTTTACATAGGTACATGAATACCACGCAGACGAATTCATAGGTGTAACATAGCATATGCATATTTAGGTATCAAATATTGCTAGTCTAGACCAAACTGGGAACTATAATTTTACTCAACCTCACAGTATTGGAGTAAATACTAACCGCTGCAATAATTATTGTATGCGAACCATATCTATATTCTGGGAGGAAGGGGATTATTAGTAACGTAAATTGTTGACTCCTGTTTGTCAGGTTGTAATCACAGTTTCCCCTGCAAGCCTTCATGATAAATTTGTGATGAATTTGTCAGGATTAGCTATCTGACCCGTCCTCATGTTAAAATTGTCATCCTCCACTAGTGCCAGCATAAACTGTTAGCGCAGGCGAGAGCACCATTGCACTATCATCCATTAAAAAAATATATATTCTTAAGTTCTATTAATCCTCCTTTTTGAACAAAACTGAATGTTAGTGTCACAGACGATTTAACGACAGAATAAATTGTAATCACACATCCATAGCTGTAACACAATCAAAACTGTTAACAAACAAACAAACATAAAACTGAAGAAAGCAACAGAAACCAAAATTCTTACATTGGGGCTTCTCTCCAACAGACATTGCCCACGTATGGCCAGGCCGATTGACCCTAAACTGTACGATATCACAAAAGCGAACGAAATCAAGCCTAAAGAAAAATCAGCGTTCGATAAAGCGGTGCAGAAAATAAGTGATAGTTCCAGTAAAAATTTGCTTCTCGGTACAATATCAGGCTGGGTCTCTGGGGTGCTATTGGTGAGAGTGGGGAAAATAGCTGCGTTTGGCTTAGGCGGTGGAGTTCTATTACTCCATTTGGCTAGTCAGTACGAGTACATTATCGTAAATTGGGAGAGAGTGAAGGAACTGGGTGGACGCAGTCAGTGGCTGGTGGAGAACCTGCTCCGGTTGATGAGGAAACACAGCTGCTACTCTGTGGGGTACGTCGGCGGATTCTTCTTCGGTTTGGCTTCAACGTAACTTATTATAAGATGTAAGGAATTGGAATAAAGTAACTTGATGTAATCTTTTCTTTGGATCAAAAATAAATAGGTCTTATAATTTCTTCATCCGAAACAAATAAATTGTGTAGGAATATACAGGGTCTAAAATTTAATAATCCTTTTAAGTACTTTCACGGATGAATCTTTCTTCGTTACTTTAATCCACGCTAATAGTATAAATATGACAGTCTGAAGGACGACTAAAAGTTTGGATTTTCATTCAATCTTGTATCAAAGGAATACTTTATATAAAACAGACCATTTTATTTAGTGGATGGTAATAGTATGGTTTCATGGCACCAGTGGAGTATAATAGGATGAACATGAGATCAGGTCAGTTGAGGGGTAAGATTAGGAGGCGAAATTACAGGACAAAAGGCGTGACAACTCAGTACTAGCCGAAATAAGATATTATGTAGGTACTAGTAACGACGACGATTGAATATCATGGTCGTCACATTGTAACGGTATCCGTAGTGCTGTTCATGTATGTAGGCGACGTTATTACCACTTACCATCATAAGTTGTCTTGGTTGTTATTTCAATTACATATGAGGACAGACACCTTAGTGTACACTTTTTGAAAATGTGATTGATGTTGTTTTGCCATATAAATTAATAACGCTATAAAGAATAGTGTTTGGTGATAGAAGGGTGAAAATTTAGGGTTGTTGGTTTTTAGATGACACATAATAAAAAATTTTGCCCAAAAAACTCTTATCACTTAGAGGTATGAAAAATATATAGTAGCCGATTCTCAGACCTACTCGATATGCATATAAAATTTCATAAAAATCGGTTAAGCCATTGCAGAGGAGTATGGAAAAGAAAGGAAAACATACGTTTATTAGATATATATATATTTTGTTTGTTTTATATGTCCATACACATCAGATAAACAAAAAGCATTATTGCATCATAAATTGTATATACACTAATATTCATAAAGTCTGCGTTATAATCTCAAATTGAGATCAAAATATTTACTAAAAAAATACCTCAGTATAGTAGATTCAGAGAGGACGAAGATTACTAATTACTGTAATTGTTGTGAGGTAAGCGATGAATCATGTCAATAGGAGGCTGTCGGTGGCTGGTGGAAAGCCATTCCAATGTCATAAAAAAAAGAATATAATACCTAATGAGGAACGAAAGAGAGTAGGTATATCTACACAGAACAAGTCAACAGATCTATGGTAAGATGTATAGGTATCATATTCAAATACCTTTACGACTGCAATCCTATATACGGTAGTTGGAAGTATCGTATACTGTCGACGTATATTTGAATCCAAGCTAGCAGGGGGCGATCTACCGAGTCTATGTGATTACTTCTTTGGTTTGATAAAGTACTTACAATTCTGGCTCTGACTGATATAATGTAGTTAGTCAGAATTATAAATTAATACATTTAATTCTTTGCCTTCGGCTAGATTAGAACTCGCTACATTGGATAGTCGAAGAAATAAACCACTAGGCTAAGATGCTCTACATCAGCATTACATAAGTATAAGTGTATTACAATAAAGTTTGTATTAGATATACAAAGTTAAAATATGTATACTGGTAGCGCTGCACGTGACTCCCAGTCCCATTTATACTGTAGTATATCCAGGTTATAATACCACAGTTTATGCTGAATTTCAGTGATGCCTCCAGACATGACACAGAATACAATAGAAAATCCTTTATTCAAATAAACTTAATTTAAGAACGTTTGAATAGTCCTACAATTTTCGCTCATTTAGAAAACTGTCTCATCACAAGAAGAACGAGCAAGAAACTTGCGTGTTGCTTTTTTTACAGAAGATTTTATTATATATTGATTTATATTTAAGATATTCTCGCGCGATGAAATTGAGTATATATTTTAAGATCTCTGGCAATACATCGAATAAAACAATCAATTCTATGCAGTAGTTTTTGATGCGTACACAAATATACAGACATATAATAGTACTACTAAATTTGTGGGTACATACTAAATCCCAATATAAACATAATATACATAGAAAACACCTAGACCGATACAAACAATCATACTCTTGAATACAAATGGTTGCACCGTGCGAGGAATCGAGGCCCATCTGATGGTAAACGGTTACCGTAGCCTATGGACTGAATCACCAGGGTATCAAGTGCGCGTGACGATTCTTAAGAAATCTTAATATACCCGTAAATAGAGGCAGTGTAATATAATGTAATAGATAGAGGGAGGATAACAATAATCAAACGACGACAATCAATGAAACATTTTTAGGCTTCTATTTATACACTGTTAGATTAAAATTTATTAAGAAAATATTTGTGTTTTATGCCACTTTAAATTGCCTCCATTTTTGGTTCTTATTAAATTTTTTTGTAGGGCTTCCATCCTCTATATCTTATTCTCTTTTGGTGGATATCCAGTTGTGTCCCGCCACAGTGTTTATGTCATCTTTACACCTGCTCTGTGGCCATCCTACTGTTTGGATACCTACCCTTGGAGTATTACTCTCAGCTTTCTTCAGCTCAAATATTTACACAACATGTTTATCAAACATATCACATTAAACTTTCAATCTAATTCTCCCAACCGTTTTCACAATTTTCGCCTCGTCTATTATTTTTAGTATACATAAAGATTAAGATAGAAATATGTTTGCTACGATATTGCATGAAAATTTACGCTTGTAGCAACACTTAGCGCACATTGTTGTTAATTAACATTAGATTGGCAGCATGTCGCTTAATTATCCTTTCATCTTTCTTTTTGGTTCACGGAACATTCGAGAACATTGCTACACACTATGTATTCTTATTAGAAAAATATACTCGTATCATCAAATTATTCAATAATAATATGTTAATAATTATACAATTTTACGTGCATATAGCAAAAGAATCAAATTGTACACATTATATAGACGGTATATCTACCGATATTTCGATTTTGTTACAATCATCCTGGTCACGGTTCGACTTACCAATATGTTACCGTTAACTTAAACACTGTGTTTGATATTCAATATATATTATGTGTACAATTATTATAATAGTCTAAAAACAGACAGTTAGATAGTGTCATAATATCTTAACAAAATCTAAACAAATATGTTTTACATTTGCAGTGAGACCGACCAAATCTGCATCGCTGACTACACCAACAACAGAACCGGGAGAGAGACCTCCACTGCCGCCACCAGATCCTCCTCCTAAACCAACAGAGCCATTCAAACCCATTGAAGAACCTAATATATTCCTCGAGAAGCCAGCATTCATTGCACCAAAACCTATATCACATTCGCCCAAAATATCTCCTTCATCTATACCCAATCCAAGTCCAAGCGTAACAACTAATAAACAAGTAGAACCAGGGTATTCAAACTATAATAACTATCTTTACTCAATCCCTGGGTATTCCGCTTTCCAACCCGTAGCATATCCGGGAATAGTTCAACCAAATCAGGCACCGTTACCACAAAGTGAAAATATTAATAAAGATTTTGTTCCGTTTCCGACGATTTCTACAAAAGAATCCGTAAAAGAAGAGAAATCAAATGAAATACAAGCTCCAGAAAATATACGTAGTGTCACGCCTAAAACAGAGATTAATAAACCTCAAACTGATTTCGAAGATCATTTTACACCTGAAATAGTACCAGCAGTGTCTAATTCTGATGTTAAAACTCAAGTAGCAGAATGTAAAATGAGTATAACCTCTCTTACTCAAGGGTCGGGTGCAACGGTCACAATACCAACACAAATACCGCATATTCCACAGACTAATAATGATAATAAAAAGAAACCAACAGAGAGATTCAGTTTGAAGACTAGTATACCGATAAGTAAAATTGACATGAAATGCGTTAACAATCCACCAGATGCTTTTTTTCAGAGTGCGTTAACAAAAAAAACTAATACTTTACCGTTTCAAAGTCAGAAACATGAGAATGTTTCCAGAGTTGAAATACAAAGTAACATCGTAATAAAAACTGCACCAATGGAGATCGAAAGTAAATCAGAAAGTAAAACAGTATCGAATGCGCCAATTAATAATATCAGTACATTAATAAATGCAGCGGAGGCTATTAATAAAACTGAAAATCAGTTTCGAAAGCCTGAACCTTTAGAGGAGACTGAGCTTAAAGAATCCACCTCAACATATACTCCTCAAGTTTCTACTTCTACTACAAGACCTATGTTTAATCCAATAAACATTGAATCAACCAAAGCAAATTTCTCCAATAAATCACCAGAATCATCTTTCACTGAACAGAAAAATCAAATACTGTTCATACAAAATAAAAACCCCGCGAATCCAAAGATGTTGTTAACAATTCAACAACAAAATCCCCAAGTGTTGCTACAAAGAACTAATTTCGATTCAAAAAACATGCAAGCTCCTTCACGATTGTCAAGTCAAACAAAAAAATGTAAAGACGATCTTGTCAACGAAACTTCGTCATCGTCTAAAGTTGTGGCTTTAAAACGGCTGCACCAAGAAAACTGCGACGAAAACGATTTCGAAAATTTGATTACCGAAAATCAAATATATGGCAACAAGATAGTCGTGAAGGAGAAATCGCAAGGTACACTTCAAGAACAAGATTTAAAAAATAAAATGAAAATTGACAAACCTATACAAGGCGAAACTAAAAACGTGGTTTTACAACCAAATTTTTTATACTTAAGTAATGTCCAATTCCCTGCTAATTTGATGATGATAAAAAATAATACGAAAGTAAATCAAACTAATGATTCCAATAAAGCTAATAAAATTGCATCCAATGAAAATAAATCGTTACACGACATTGGAACCACCACTAATACTTCTGATGCAAATGCACTAACAAAAAACATCAAAACACAAACTGTGTCGGTAAGTAAAGAGATACATGTCTTGAAATCCAGCAATAATGTTTTACAGACCCTATCTAATAAAAATAATAAGACTGATATAGTTATTCAAACAAATCAGAAAGTAATTATGAATCCACAGATAGTTTATCAAGTCCCCATGATTGTCGATACTGATAATAAATTAAATCAACCATTTGTTAATAGGGACTATTCGAAGTTTATAAATAATAAGAAAGATTATCCTAAGCAATATGAGCAAACAAAGCAAAATGACAAGCTGTTCATTGCATGTCCTTATCAAATGGACTCTAAATTGCAGCCAAAAATTGTGATAACAAATATCAGGCATAAAATTTCTAAAATAGAGGAAGTCAGTTCTTTGGATATGTATGAAAAGCGAAGAAGAATTAGAAGACTAAAATATTTATCTAATCGTGATTCAAAAGAAATAAAACCAGATTCCAAGAAGGTTCATGATAAATCAGATAAATTAAAAAATATAATAACACCAGATAAAATGAAAGCTGAAATTTATAAAGAGTTCGCTAAAAGTAAAGCCATTATCGATCAAGACGGTAGTGATACAGATAATGATTTCGGGGAAGATGAACTTAAAGAATACAATTCTATAATTGAAGAATACAGTATTCACAGTGATGATCAAACTGGGAAAGTCGAATTTTTGTCAAATTTTAGTTTAACTACACATGACATGTCTAAAGGTAATTCATAAAATTTTAAGGCGTATTTCTAAATCCATAAAAATTACATTAGTGATTCTTACCGTATTTTATTTTAGATTAATTTAATAATATTAGATATTGTGATATTAATATTCTATATTCAATTTTAATTAATATTTACAGTTAAGGAAATGGAACTTCAAGAAAAAACAATCAGAAAAGATTCTGTAGCTTCTGCATATATAGCAGCGGGTCGTCTAGATCGACTGTGGAATGAAGATTTTCCAAAAGAAATATCCGTAAAACCACCTGATAACAATATGAATATCCAAATCTTTGATTATGCCATAGAAAAGGAACATCCTATTATTTTACAAAAAAAGAAATCATTCTTGAATCAATTGAAATTGGTGCAAGTCTCGCCACATTACAAAGAAGGTAAGTAATTCAACAGTAATTCAAGACTGTGTATTTAGTTTCAAATGTAGCACAAAGATATATTTCTTTTATATCTATCTCTATAGTTCTCATTTTACTAGTCACGTAAGTACATTATAACAATGAATTACCATTTACAGAATACGAAAGAGCGTGGCGCGAAATAATAAAAGAAAGAAACAGAAGATACGGGATCCAACACCTGGGCAACCTGAAACAAACCAAAACGTCAGCAGAACCCTTAGATTTAGACCCCAATTGTCAGCTACAGTTGTTATCTGAGATAAAGAACAGCGTCAATGAAAATAATAATCTTATTAAGATGCGATTGGACGCGTTCTCTACTAATGGAGATGGAGAAAGCATAAGAGTACTGGCCGAGAAGAATTTCTCAGAACTGAATCGTCTATCAAAAATGGCGGATAGAAGTGTCAAAATTTTTAGCGGACAAGACACAAGGAAAAGAGATTTAAATCCAGGTTTTGACAGCGAGAATATCCAAAAATGTGTTGCAAATTTACATCCATTTCAGAACTATCCTACAATAAATGTACCGACTATTTCAAGGATAATATCATTGAAATCAACGCCAGAACAAAATACAGGGACCTCGACACAGGCCACGTCGATGGACGAACCAAAGAGTTCCGCTGCCGGCGTTAAAGAGATGTTTTTGAGTGCTTGTATGGAAAACTGCAAGAAGCATGACTTCAGCTGCCAAGTCGACGATGGGTTCCCGTGGCCTGGTATAGAAACCATAATGAAGAACTACAGAGAATTTGATGCAGGTATATATTTGAAATTAGCTATTATCCGTGACTCTGTCCGTGTGGATTTAAAGTTCTATTTTTATTAACTAAAAATTCCAAAATAAAAGTAGCCTAAGTTACTTATAACATTAGCTATCTGCGAATGAATGTCCCGTCTAAATTGGATGAGCCGTTTTGGACATTAGCAAAAACAAATAAACATACGTATAATTAGGAGATCACGATCATAATCTTACCATTTATTTTTATTGAGTTCCCGATATTTCGGTAGTGAAATACTATGATAACCGCCATGATCACGGGTAAACTGAAGAGTAGCGGGTAGATGGTAACTATGTGTTTTATGGGCAGACATATTCTACCTTCACACGTCTTTGTTTGTTGCTACTATTGACACTAGTTCGATATTCATCTCGGCAAACTATACTCACAGTATCTTCACGTACACTTAATACATTTTCTGATCGTGTTTTCGTTTTTGTTCAATTAAACCAATCACTGCATTCCAACCATTAAAGAGTTTAAAACAGTCTTTCTGATTGATATTTTTGTTTTTCCTCGAGATTTTCGTCCTTATCTGTCCTCTTATGTACTTTCAGCGAGAAGAAAAGAGATAGCAGAACTACACAAACGCAATACGTCACTGCGAGTGGAGAGCGCTCATATAACAAGATCAGCATCTCGGGATTCAGAGAGAGCGCGCGCTCTACTTGCTGAGCGGCAGAACTTAGCTGTAGAAGAGAACAACCTACGTCTCTCAATACAGAGGCTGACTGCTGCTGTCGAAATAATAAGGAACTGTTGATTGTATTATCTATATTTATAACATTTAAGTTCAAATTATCTTGACGCGTGGAGTTTTGAACATTTTCCTAATATTAAGACGAGTGGTTCACGAAATAATTGCAGTATTAATTCTATCTCTCAAATCAAATCAAATCAAAATATATTCATACATGTAGGTCTAAATGTTTAGCTTCCAAAATTAGTGATAATTAAAACACCTGTTTAGATATAAACATATCTGTATTAATAAAAATTATGGTATATATTATAAAACTAAATGCGCTTCACAAATTAGAGCGCCATCTACAGTAGAGTATTGTTATTACGCAGGTCTATTACAGACTTTTATGATATGTCAATTCAAATTAGGAGTACTACACTGACCACCACCATATGCCATTGCAATTCTGTGAAAAGAAAATAATTTAATCAGTAGTCCTATACCGAACATATTCAGATACCACACGTTTCCTCCCACTAAATCGATGCCATAATTCTTCTATTATATAATTTCACAGCTCCACGCGTACATCAAGGGTAATATGAACAAATTACGCCATTGTAGATAAGCCATTATTGTATCGAGTACCTGAATATTTGGGTATCGTATCTAATTTTGTATTCAAACATTATAATCATAATTATATTGTTGATTTATTGCTTATCATTTGTAATGATATCGACTAGTGAAATGACAATGATTATACAAATGACGTCATCATATCACTAGCATCTATTTATTACAATTTTAAAGATAATGAATACAGAAACGAATAGCAATAAAATTTAACATTAGTATTCAGATGTTTTCAAATATATTGTAGTGTTGCTTCAAGTGTGAGGGACATGTTAAGGGCATGATAATCTGTGATTGGTCAATACAATAGAAGACGTGTCCGTTGCGATAATTTTGTTACGAAAAACAATACAACACTAGGACAAACTACAGTGTAAAAGACGTATGTTATTCAATGATGAATTCAAATTGAAAGAAAGAAAAAAGAAAGTAAAAATGTTGAACTTCCAATATTATATTTCGTATCAAATATTAATTTATTTAAAGTAACATGTAATGTTGCATCATTGCTGAACTGAGAATTTAGAAATACAGACCGTGTATGTACATATAAGTAATTTTATATATAGGCCATAATTATTTATGATTGTAAAAAGGTATTTTAATATTTTGTATTTGATATATGTAAATGGGATACCAAGCTAAAAGTCAGATAGAGTTCTCATGAAGTAGAGTCACTTTCATCCAGACACAAAGTAGAAATACGATAATAATAATAATATTGACATTGGTCAATCCACACAGCGCAATCTAGTCTCAAGCTAAGCAAAGCGTCTGAAATATATCTACGTAAGTAGCTTAAGACAGTCTTCGTAATGCAGTCTATGTTTATGTTTTTGTTAACATCCGTTCAGACAAGAAAAGGTAACTAAAAAAACCCACGCATTTATAATATTACATTAGTATGGATTTTCAATTATAAATTGGAATATTATTCATTTTCAGCAACGCAAGTTTTTCGCTCGTTTTTCTTATGATGAGCCTGCTTTCCGAATGAGTGGTAGAATAAAAAAATGTGACTATTTTAAAATCTTTAAATTAAGTTTTTATACTTGAATAAAGTTATATCATTTGCTATAGAACCGACTTTCAGCTTGTTATACTGTTTACTATCCCTGTACAAGGGAGCATCCATAAATCATCCACAAAGTGTGACTGTTTACTGTTATTCGTTATGTTTTTTTTAATTTTTTCTACTGTATGAGCTAACGATGCAAATAAAATATTTATTTATCTATATACTTTATAAGAGATTAGAGGAGCAACAAAAATCATGAAATCTACATACGATCGCTCCCAGTGTAGTTCCTGGCAGTGGTTTTGAATTTTGTGACATACAATTAATTAAAATACTTTTACTTAATTATTAATTTTCATTCTTTAAATGTGACAAAGGGTCCCCCTCTGTCACATTTAAGAAATTGGTGACATTATTTATGGATGGCCCTTAATATTATTTTAACTTAATTGTATATTTATTATAAGTTAACTAGATGTAACTACGGGCATGCACTGTAATCAAAACCTTTTAGTACTTTATCACAGTAACATTACTGGTTGTTACTACCAATCATTATTAATATTGGAGTATTATTTTTACACATAAATTCACTAGTACTAAAATGTACAAAGTACTAAAATGGTAAATACAAGGTCACAATTTAACATACTCGTAACATAAGGGTTATGTCACACGTTAAGGGGGATAGGGGAGGACGATAAGTGTGACATTGTCACTAAATTCGTATCAAATAATAATGAAATCTAGATTTTGTGGCATCATATTTGTATTTTAGTATGAAAACCCCAAATGAAAAAAGGTGAAATTAATAAAATTGACAGGACATATATAGTTTATGGTAATATTACTCCTGTAAACATTATTTTTAAAACTATAACATATAATATGAGTGCCCATAAATTGTGGCAATTAAACAGTAAATAATATATTGGACATCTTATTACCAACTAACTGTTTTCTAAAGATAAATTCATTTCACAATTTAACTGGACAGTTTTATTTTGAACTATACTAATGCTGTTGGCCTCAGCTGGCATTTAAAGCTTTACGAACGATAGGAGGCGAGTGCAGATGGCACTTCAAACCCGTGGAAGGACTTATGGAGCGGCTGAAGATCAACTCCCTCCTGACGCGTAATAATTTAGTTTGAGGGTACCGCTAGGGGTTCGAACCTCGGCTCAGGCCGTCATAATTTCGATCCGCGTTTGGATTGGTTGGGAATCGATCGTAAGGTGTTTATAGACATAGTTTTACTAGGAATGGTTACCGTTTTCCATCAGGTGGGCCATCAGGATGTTCTTCATTCCAGTTACATAAGAAACACCATAATTGAACTGAATTTACAAATTTTAATTTTTACATAAGTTTAATATTTTGGTCATAATAATTGTAGGTAATATGAAACTTATTGCATATATCATAACAGCAAAATATAGAATAAGATAAAATTTGGTGTCCAATATAACGCAAACGAATATGTACCTACTTAATTATAGAATTAGAGTTAATTTTATAACAATGTATATATTACCATTTAAAATATAATAAGTACATATATAGGTATGTATCACAGTGAACAGGCGCTGGCGGGAAAACCTTCATATCATATATAAAAAGAGGTTTCATTTGACCTCTGACAGATGCACATGTCTGCGTGTCTGCACCTTAATAATAATGATAATATCCCTGGACAATTAAATACAAAACAAAGACGTGCAGACTGTCCAGGGTTATTATTATTTTTATGTGGGGTATCACTCACGACTAGATAAATATAGTTGTAGATGTAATATGAAGTACTCGGTCCCGCCTGCGCCTGTTTACTTAAACATTAGTTTATAATAATGCTTCAAAGAGGCATTTAAAATAGGTTAATGGTATTTAAGTAGTTATTTTATTGTAATTGTAAAATTTCGATTGCTTTGTACGTTCAAATAGGCATATTTTTGCTGGCCTTTGACCGCAGGATCGTTTGCTATTTAAATACAAGTATTTTCACGACAAATTTCAGTAACAGTTATCTCGTTATATGATTAAGACAGATAGACAGATCTTCGCATGCGGTGGTATTCCGGAGAACTAAGATGTCACGCCTCTTATCCTGTAATTTTACTTCCTAATCTCACCCTGTGACCGAAACACAGTTTATAAAAAGAGGGCGATTCGCGCCATTTGCTCTATTTATGGTATGGGTTCCAGGGAGACATTGCGAGTGTTTTCAGGAATCAAATATTGAGGATATTGCCGTTGCTTCTCAATACATTTATGAAAATATCATCTATGCCAGGAAGAATATAGACAGTTTCAAAAGAGTTAGTGATTGCACTAATAAAAGCTTACGTAACAATAACAAACTAATTTTACCTAAATGTCGTTTGGCTAAAGTTAGTAATATGTTACACGTTTTGTGGCAATTGCGTAAGGTTTTAAAATAAAATACCAGAGTCTGTTATAAATCTGCCAGAAAAAAGATTTAAATGTCAAATAAAACAGTTCCTTTGCAAAAAAAAGCTTACTATAAAATTGAAGAATTCGTTAACGATAATAATGTTTTTATAGAAAAACTTTAAATCCATAAGCACTGACAATATTATTATCTGATTACACTAATTAATATAAAAAACATCTATTAAAAAGAGCAACACACAAGTGCTCATTCTTCTTGCGATGAATCTACATTCCGAATGAGTTGATTATCGAAAAGTGCTTGTAATGAGTTTATTTGAATAAAGATTATTTCTCTTACTTGTTGTTATTTATAATTTCATCATCATCATCTCATTGAATTCATCCCTACACGCTAGAACCCAAGTAGTCTCGGACAGTGCGGTTTCAGAGGAGCTTCCTCCCGCATACACTCAGATTGATGAGCTACCTGCCGATGATTTCTCGTAAGACTACAGCATAGGGTTTTACAAAGGGTTTATTAAGGTTTCTTAAGGGCAACGCACTCGTGACATCCCTGGTGTTTCAGGGATCTATAGGCTACGGTAACCGTTTACCATCAGATGGGCCGTATGCTTAGCACCGTCGTAGTATAAAGAATGTATAAAGCAATCAGAACTTTACGTATACCAGTAATAAAGTCGTTTATATTTTGCAGTACAAATGCTTCTACTTTCAGTGCCTATTTTGGTATGTTTTTAACAAGTTAGTGCAATATGGAAAACGTGTTCGGGGTGCAATATGGTGAATAAAGGAAATAAATAAATAATTCGTATAAATATATGTGTTTTATTTTAAAACACCCTCTTATTATTATATCTATATCTATACATATATATAAAATTGGGAGTGTCTGTTTGTAATATTGAAATAACCTTTTTTACTACATGTATAAGAATATAAATATGGTACATACACTAAAGTAACATTTTTTACAATTTTTGTCTGTCTGTCTGTTCCGGATAATCTCTGAATGGCTGGACCGATTTTGACGGAACTTTTATTGGCATGTAGCTGATGTAGTAAGGAGTAACTTAAGCTACTTTTATTTTAGAGAAATTCTTTTATATTAGAAATATAAAGCTAAATTCCACGCGGACGAAGTCGCGTAGTATATAGTAAAACTGTAGGTCGACTGTCTGTACATAGAAACAAAACCGCCAAAAACTGAACCAGGGGGATGTTAGAAGTGAAATAGTAAAACCAGATTTTTCTTAAAAATTTTTGTTCTCTGTCTGTTTGTATGGGCTAATCTCCAAAATTGTTGGACCGATTCAAATGAAACTTAGCAGCGGAAGTAAGATGGTGTGCTAAACCAAGACCACAGAAATTGTAACATAAGGGAAAGAAAATGTCATAAATAATTAAGTGATATTCATTTAATTTCCCTCCTATTCATTTGGTAGAAATGGATCAAATAGTAAATTTATTGAAATTAACACTATATTTTCCACTAAACTGTCTTATCTAAACAGCAGAGCGCAGTACCGGCCACGATGAGGGCAACGCCGAGAATCGAACCTGAAATTATTTATTTAATTAATAATAACTAGTGGAAAAAATGAGGTGTAGTCTAAATTACAAGTTTGAACATTATTAAGAGTCTATTGTCAAATACTATAATGAGATATCCGTTTGTGTGTGTGTGTGTGTGTGTGTGTGTGTGAAATACATAGTAGTGTGTAATATTTTTTTAACTTAATTTATTATTTACTATAATTTAAAAAAATATTAGTATTTTCTGCTCTTTCTGTATATAAATCATAAGTGTCCTCGCATTTCTGTAACAAGGGGTAAGAATATCGCTGGAAAATTTACAGTGAAACAAACAACTTGTAAGCAGAGTTTGTGTTATAGGTACTAAACAACTCATAAAAATACACAAGTAAATTTTTTTGTAAATACATATCTAATATACATTGTTTTCTATGTATATTAGGTATGTATTGCTGGTTTCAAAGAAGAACTGCATGGAGGTCAACCTGATCTGCAGTTCCTCTTAAAAACCATCATCATAAATTCCTAGTGAATTGTCACAACGACAATTGACACAAGGCCAAGTTAGTTCTAAGCTAAGCAAAGCTTGTGTTATGGGTACTAGACAACTGATGGTCAATAGATACATTTTTTTATCATAATATACATAGAAATAATAATAATATTCAGACCGATACAAACGGACATACTCATGAATACAAATATTTGTACCGTGCGAGGAATCGAAACCGCGACCATCGGAAGTGAAGCGATATGCTAAACCGCTAGACCATGGAGGCCATAAAATATCATAGTAATACATATGTACCTTTGTCCAATGGTTCCTCGGCCCCTACAGCCGCTCCAAACACTGCCGTGAAGGCAAAAGCCAGACCATTGGCGACTGGCACTGCAACTGATAGAGGCGCGCGCTGTACCGCCGCCAGGTAAGCTAGCGACCCACTCTGGTTGACCACCCATGGGAGTATGTACTGAGAAAGAAGAAAATCTGGTTAGACACCCCGTCCAATTCAAACGGGAATCGAAATTATGACATCCTGAGCATTTTCTTTTTTTATGGATGCTAATGGAATGATATTCCCGCCTGCGCTAACGGTCTACGTACCGCTGCCGGGCACCAGTGGAGAATGATAATGAGATGAAGATGAGATCAGGTCAGTTATCCCGTCGTTGCAAATTCACCAGGAATATATCACGATGGTTGTAATGGGGTCATGAGTCCACATAACTAACAATCGCCTATCTCCAGGCCTGAGCATTGGGAAAAGAGAAAATTACATCTGGTAAGAGACCCCGTCCAATTACAACTAGGGTCTAAATTACAACGGCCTGAGTACTCAGAATATAGAAGATCCCCGTCCAATTCAAACGGTAATCGAAATTACGACGGCCTCAGCCTAGGTTCGAACTTCTAATGGTGCCCTCAGACTAAACTTGTATCTGTCAAGCAGGAGTGGGCCTTCAGCCAATTCATAAGTTTTCCGCGGGTTTGGAGTACCATCTGAACTCGCCCCCTATCGTCCGGTGAAGCTGTAAAGGCCAGCTGTCAACAGCATTAGAGTAGTCCGAAAAGATATATATAATTTAAATATAAAATCTGTGTATGTCCCGACTCCGCGTCGAATGTACGCATACCAATAACCCATGTACCACACTACCAATTAACTTACTCATCATCTGTTTCTTCCTTTTCCCATTTATTTGGGACAGCGTAATATGATTTTCTCTTCCATTCCAAATAGAAAGAAGAAAGAAAGAAAGAAAAATATTTTATTCAGTGCAATGTAAAAAATACAATATAAACAACAAACGAAAAAAAAAAGCAAATAAAATGTACATATAATTAAACTTAATTTACCATGTAGACAATTAAAAATAAACATAAAATAACAGGCACTGAATATATGAAAGGGGGAGAGAGAGATGCACTATTTAAAATATTAATATTAATAATTAAAACAAAATAAAAAATAAACTTGTGGTTAGGTTGGCGTGTTGATATACAGAAGGAGTGATATTAATAAAATATTGAATATATGACGGTGTATATAATATCAGAATTAAAAATAACAAATAATAATTAATTTAACAACTTATTTAGATCTTCTTCTGAACTTATGACAATCTATTTTTTATGAAATGTAACTGTCTTATATGGCTAGTTTATGCAAGGAGGTTGGTAGCCTACAAACTTACTAATGTAAAATTATTACACCTATATACTCACTACCTACATACTACAACAAACAATTATTTAGCAACACCTTACACATCACATATAACGCTACAATGGTGAGGTGATAACCACCGCGCCACAATAGCAATTACAAAAAAAAATACGGTACGTACTTTCCAATTCCTCAGCAGGTGAGATACCTCAGCGTAGGCTTGTCCCCACTTAGTCTTCGCTTTGACATCCCGCAGACCTTTCGTGCCCTGCCTGATGAAGGGGTTCGTGCAACCCCATAGTGCACCAGTTAACACTAGAAGAGCTGGAACAAAGTTAGTATTGGATAGGAATCCAGAGGGATTTAATGATAAGGTCATGGCTGTTTTCGTTTGTCCAAAAATTAACAATATAAATAATGTATTAATTAACAATATAAATAATGTATATTAAAAACGAAAGTTTAATGTTGTAGTTAAATTGAAATTGAAAGTTAAATACTGTAGTATTAAATTAATAGTTAAACAAAATAAATGAGTCGTGAATCCATTGTTAATAAGACAAAAAATAATAAATAAAAAACCTAGTAAGAAATATAAATTTATTAAAGATTATATTTTACACGTTTACAATGCTCTATTAATATACTCTTTAGTACCAACATATATATTCTGTAACAATTTTATACATTTCTGCTCTTTTTTATAATAAGTATCAAAAATTCGATACTCATATTGTCAAATCTCTATAGCAATATAATTTATTATACTATATTATAATTATTATGCAGGAAAACCCCGACAGGAGTTTTTTAAGTTAGTAATTGTAAAATTTCTAAATTTGGATAGATAAAGTATATATCTATAATTATATCTATTTTTTATTTTACATTAAAACTTGTACAAAAGGCATCCTTATTGCACATGAGACTTTTTGACTAGCACCATTTTTATTTCTAGGAACGAAAATTACAGCCAAATTGATCAATGATTTTATCTATAATAAATTTCTATTAATATTTCTCATACAATTAAAAAATGTACACACAGTGCTAGTTGATAGATATAAAAAATATATAATAGATATTAATATAAATCTTTAAAAAAATATTTCATTTGTGACAATATTAGGACATTATTATGAAAACCTATTGAGTTATTTATTACAGCTAAAAACTTACACTTTACTGATTATAACTTATATATATTACCACATCCGGTTTTTTGAAGATAGTGGGGTACAAGGCGGGCTAGCAGTGGACATAAAAGGCATTATAAGAGTGACCTCATGAGTGGCCATTCCTGTGCACTAAAATCTATAGCTGCTTATGTCACTAATGCCTGCCTGCCTAATGCCTTTTATTTTCTCATTGCTTTCTTGATTTAATTGATTGATTTTAGAAATATGAAAGCGTAGCGGTTTTTGTATTAATTGCCGCATGCATTCTTATGTAAAATGTGAATACTATAACTATCAGATGGCAATTGTGAGTAGCTTTGACGTGGTCTAGTGTTTTGAGTAGTCATGCTCACTAAAATGTCCAGACTTGTGGCGGCGTGGTGGGCCGGGTCATTGGGCTCCCTAAAATATGGTCAAGCGCAGTGATGGCTGGCTCATCCGTCATACTCGTGAACGGGTGCTGCTTGTAGGGACTGGTCTGCTCTAATCACTATGACTGATTTCCTCTTATTAATTGTTTAACCAGTTGGTTATGTATTCAATATTTTTTCTTTTTGAGTATTTAATTGAATTAGTGCTAATTGGTGGTTTGTATTCACACACTTAAACTTAAAAATGTAAAGTGATAATAAAATTATTTAAAAGAGCAACACGCAAGTTTCTTGCTCGTTCTTCTTGTGATGAGACAGCTTTCCGAACGAGCGGTAGATTAAAAAAAAATGTAATGACTATTCAAAAGTGCTTCAGTGTAAGTTTATTTGAATAAATGATTTTCTATTCTATTCTATTCCTGTAATTTCACTAATCTGCACCCTCATAAATAGATGAGACTGAGATACCCACAAAGTTATACCCAACGACTAAATATATATGGCAAGAGGTGGACTACAAAGTGAAGTCTTAAAACAGAACCTAGACATACTATTATGCTGATGGAATTAACGTAAAAGATTAACAAAAAACTGTTGAGAAAATTATTATGTGTGATATAATAAAAAATGATCAACAAGAACTTAGTAAAATTGGAAATTGTGAAGACAAAGCAATAATAAGCAAGACATTAAAAATATTCATAATGGGATTAATGAGAGCAAAACGTCATGATTAGTAATAATGATAACCCAGGAAACAATTACTACGCAATAATTAACTAAGCATCTTGGTCTAAGTCATACGATACAAAGCCGAATACTTGACTAATATTAAAAGCATTTATAATATCACACCCCACCATAACCCTCCAAATGTTACCTTTAATAAGTCGCCAAATTTTCATAAGTCGACAATTAATTCACTAATTAATATAATACTAAAATATAAATAAATAGCTACTCGCCCCGGGTGTACATATATAAACCTTCCTCTTGAATCACTCTAACCATTAAAAAAACCGCTTCGAAATCCGTTGCGTAGTTTTAAAGATTTAAGCATACATAGGGACGGACAGACAGCGACAGCGACTTTGTTTTATACTATGTAATGATACAAAAAAATATTTTTGTAGCCTCTTGGCCAGGACTGCTTGCTGGCCGACTACAAAACAATAACTAACAGAATCAGAGAGGTCCTCTGATCGACGCCCGACCAATTAACACTCGGATCGAAATTACTACGGCCTGAGCCGAGATTCGAACCCTACAACTAAAGTCGTATCCGTCAGTAGAAGTTGGCCTACAGCTAGTTGGAGTTCTGCACTCGCCCCCTATCGTTCGTAAAGCTGTATATGGCAGCTGAGGTCAACAACATTAGAATAGTTCCAAAGAAAATACAGAATAATTAAAGACTGACTAATAGGAAAAAGATGTCAGACCATTAGAAATATTTGTAAAATATATTTTAATATTAGACTCGATCTCGCTTTTAATTCATATGACAGTCCTAACGGTACACGTTACTACCTACAATAAGTACACCGTTCAATACTCTTGATATCTCAGTATACTGCTTTTAAATATACACTAGTTCACGTTAAAACTAAATTTGTAGCAGTCGTGACAGGACCGATCGTCGTGGAGATCTTTGGGGGAGGCCTTTGTTCAGCGGTGGACGTCTTCCGGGCTGAGATGATAATGATGATGATGAAGGGAAGAATTACAATTATCTTACTTAAACTATTTTATAGTCATTTAGGCTCTCAAACTAATCTATACCTGATCTAAGTGTACCTTTACAAATCAATACCCTACAGGTACTCCAGGAGTCATTGCTTTTACTTCAGAGAAATAACAATAATTTGCATCAACCCAATGTACAAATTTTGTAGACTTAACAACCGCAATCTTGAGAGCGATGATACAGTCATTTTCAGCCCTATGCAGATTAACTGGCTTCTCATTAAATATCCTCTCATATATACGTCCCAATTTATAAGAAAGCTCGGGCTTGTTGTAGCCCATCCAAGGCATCCGTCTACGAGCCTTCATCAGTCTTTGCTTTTCTGTGAGATCTCTAAGCCGTTTCGGTATTGTTTCCTTATCAACTTCCATTCTTCTATCAGTATCTTTATTGTGATATAATTTTAATTCTGGATGAATCAAATTCATCAACGCTTTCTGATCAATAACGTCGATATCATAAAAAGCGTGCAAACAATCGGCACACAACAAGTCCTCCGATAGACTCCTATTCAATTTCTCTAATTGGTATCTCAGTATAGGGAAATCGAAATGCATTCCATTTTGTGCAATCAAACAAATGGGCTTTACTAATATTTTTAGAAATGAATCGATAAGCTCATAAACTTCTATGTTAAATGGTGGTAGTGGTTCGAGAAGCTCGTTGGAGAGTTTCGTGACTTTGGTGCAGTCAGGATGGATCAGTCTGCGAGGGTAGACGCAAATATTCAGTTTATTAGCTATTTTGGGGCATCTTCCTGGTTGTGTGTCAATCAAAACTTGTCTATTGACCGCTATGAAGCTAATCTCTGTTATTTTCGTTCTATTTAATTCCTCTGGTGGTAAACCAGTGGGTTCAATATCCATAAATACGTACGTAGCTACCACAACCATTCTAAGTTATAAATAAGCAAGTTTCTTACCAATGGCTTGGAACATGACGTGGTGATACGAGTAATTCGTAATTTTATCTGTTAAGTAGTATTATATTGAAACTTGTCCCGGAGGAAATGGCACGGGTCGTCAGGCCTACTGAACAGGCGGTAGTGCGAATGAGTCTGGATGACCCTGTGATGATCAATTTGCTGACCGCATGTGTAGTCTGAAACAAGATAACGCTAATATACCTAATATGTACATCACAAGAGTTTGTATGCTTGTTTGAATAAACTAAACAAGATAACTGTTGGTCGGCTTTAAAAAAGTCAACCGATTTTAAAGAAAGGAAGACGTTCTCAATTAGACTGTATTTTTATATGTTTTATCTGAGGATTTCTTTACGTATTTATATATAAACTTTTTTTTATTTGCATGTCATGTGCCATCTGCACTTACCACCTATCGTTCGCTGAAGCTGTAAAGACCCGCTGCGGCCAACAGCATTAGAATGGCCCGAAAAAAGGCTCCACCCTGTTATTTCACTGTCATGTAACCTGAACACGTCTTACAAAGCTGTTTGGCTACTGAATTAGATGAGAAATCAGGTGCACCCATGCGGTGCTCATCTAAGAAGAAAGAAGTGTATCTATCTCAGCAAAGTGTATCTCAGAATTTGGATATAAATATTTCAAATTTCTCTTTCCAAAAAACACATGTATTGTCATGGGTATGCAAGAACAGGTTGTACCTACCTACCTGATAAAGGCATTGCTGTTACTACGTCATCACAACAGTGAATTATTAAAATCAGATTGTTTTTATGGAAATAAACATTTTAGACAGGGTTAAACTTGTATTTTTATTCTCAAGGAACAACTGTAATAAAACTACTTATTAAAAAAATAATAATTTATTAGACATTAAATTCTAAATTAGAAATGTCAAAATTTGCTAAATTTAATATTACAAAATAAATAATTAGTACAAAAACTAAGATAGTGTACATTTAATAATATAAATAAAAAAATGTCTGTGATAGCACATAGACAATACATATGTAATAATGACAGTTACGTTGTTGATGACCATACAACATTTTTTTTTTACATTGGAAAGGCCAACAGGCTTACGGCCCGCCTGACGTTAAGCTGCAACTGTCACCTATACATTAAGAGCGACAAACTGATTGAACAATCATCCAGTTTTAATTTTCAGTTCAGGCATTTACATTCTACATATATTTAAAATCATAACTTTCTCATATAAAAATTAAAGTAAAAAATCTGTCTTTGGTATAATTAAATATACCATTAACAATAAATAAGTTACAAAAGAGATTCACACAAAATATACAAAATCTATAATATATTTTAAATCAAAACATGTTACAAACATTATTTTAGTCCTTCGTTATATTTTGTTGTTAGTAATATTTGTTCAATCTACATACATTGTCATGTTAATATACATTCATACAAATACTGCAGCCTTAAGATATATTCAATGTGAAATACAATATTTATTTTTATGCATGTACATTTTCTACCTGGCTTGACTCTGTACCACAGATCATTGACATTATATAGAAAACAGTATATCCAACACACATACACTCTTCCTGTCATCTTTTTAAACACATAAACAAATGTAACTTTTTAACCATTTCTACCCTGATAAAGAAAGACTGGATTATATGTAATATGATGAACATCTATACTAATATTATAAAAAGGTAAAATTTGTATGTTTGTTTGTTCAGGGTAATCTCAGGTTCTGTTAGAAAGGTTTAATTATTAACTATCCCTATACTCTATATGTATAATATGTTTCTAATAGAACCAACAGGTTAATTCACTATTTTTTTTTATGGTAATCAAATTTCTTCTCAAATAATTCATTATTTCTGAAGGTGTTTTTATAAACATGATATGAACCCTTAACTGAATAGATATATTAACAAATATTAGGCCTGTACAAAACTAGGGTCGGTTGCTAGTTACATATATATTAATCACCAATACGTACTCCAGGAGTCATAGGGTTTATATTAGAAAATAATACACAATTCTTTTCTGTCCATTGTACAAACTTGTCTGATTTTGCAACTGCAACTTTGAGCCCTGTAAGGCAGTCACCTTCAGCACTGTGTAAATCATTTGGTGACTCCTTAAATTCTCTTTCATATACATCTGCTAATTTATATGAAATTTGTGGCTTTTTCCCAGACCAGGGAAGTCTTCTACGAGCCTTCGATATCCTTTTCTGTTGAGTTACATGTTTTGTAATAGGTTGCTTAGGTGTAGTTTCATTGATGCGTTGCATATTTGTACTCTCATTTATATACTTTGTTTCATCTATAGATGCCATATACTCTTCAAGTTCTGAGTCATTTATATCAAGTATTATGTCAGTCTTATTTGGTGTGCAAATAATATCACTATTATTCACATAGTCTGATGAACATCCTGCATTTATACCATTAGGTTCACTTAGTACTTCCTGAGACATGTTATTACATGTTTTCTTTCTTTCATTGTCATCTTCTGTATTAAGATTTTGTAAATTTTCACATACACTTGTATTTATTGTATCACTATTTAATGAATTTGCATCAACCAATGGATTGTCCATATCGTAAAAGAAGTGAAATGTATCTGCACAATATAATTCATCTGAAAACTGCACTCGTAACTTATCTAAATGATTTTTTATGATTGGGAAGTCAAAATTGTATCCATTATGTGCAACCATACAGACCGGTTTAGGCAAAATGTTGAGGAATTTGTTTAATATGTTGTATACTTCATTATCAAAGTACGGCTGGTACTCCAGTAGGTCGTTGGACAGCTTCGTAATCTCTGTAGAGATCATAGACACCATTCGACCAGGATTCAAACACAGCGTAAGCTTATTTTGCACCCGTGGCATAGAACCTTTTCTGGTATCCAAAATGTGTTCCTTTAACACCGCCACCATGCTTATTTCCGTTATTTTCGTCTTGTTTAACTCTTCACGTGGTAGACCGGTTGTCTCTAAATCGACAAACACGAAAGTCTTAATTCCAACCATTTCGTTGCCGCTCCAAAAGTTATAATTTAAACAGAATATAACTTTTATGGATTAATTACGTAATATAACAATATAAGTTAAAAACAAACGTTATTCAAATTACTAGTATTAAGTAAATATATAAAAACTCACTTGTTATAAGTTAGCACTGTATTATAAAGGTTATTTTCTTTTGAGCGCGCTTTAATCGGTTTGGTTCGGTAATTGCACAACATATAACAGTCGCATCCTCTTATCATAGTTGTGAAATGAGTCATACACTTTAATATTCCGTGTTTGTTTACAATGCACTCAACTGTACTATATTTTAACAAGATATCTATAGAAATGCTATTACAAACCGTTCCGTGGCGGTAAATTGAAATAAGTATAAATAAGCATTTTAAATACCTTATGATTTAACTATTACAATTATATCTGTATAATAATATCATAAAAAACTATATACAATATTATATATGTAATTAAATAAATAAACAAGTTAATATAAAAAGAAACAGAAAAATAAACGTCAAGTCAAATGACATCTGTCAGTTATTGTCAAACACTATCAATCAAATGCACAGAGTTGGCTGTATAGGCTGAGTCCTTTTGCCTTTCCCTGAAACGAGAAAAACAGAATAAAAATAAAATGCACAGAGTATGACAACATGACAAATGAAATCCCATAAATGAATACATATTACTGTGATATTATCGTATATTTACACGCAATGACCCCCTGTCAAAAACTCTTTCACATAAACCTGTCAAATTTAGTTCATATATTGAGACTTGCGAGATAAATTGTGCCTTTCCCATGAGATTTAGGAAATGTCCAAAATTCGTCATTTTTATCAAAAATAGTTATAATGAATGACCTAGGAAGTTCAAAAATACGTACCCAGATGTAGAGTATATTCACAATGTCACTACAATTTTTCACTTTAATTGATTCTATTTCTACGTGGAACCCCATGAATTATTCAGCCCTGGATCTAGAGGGTGGCTACACGGGAGCGGCAAATTTGAACTTAGTAGATGAATACACCATTAATAATTTGAGCACTTGTAAGCAAATTATTTTTCACAGAGCGCATACTTTTTTCAAACTATGGTTTATTGTTTATACGATCGGCTCCACCAACAAGAGCGCGGCTCTTAAATTATGAATGAATTTATGGTTTATTGACATATACGCTAAAATTATATATATTTGTGATTATATTATTATTACTTTTTTAGTTTTTATAGACAATAGTTTAAACCAAAAATTAATAACAATTTTAAAAAAGTAAAGATCCGAGAATGAGCTGGTAACAAATCGTGATTAATAGATAACAGTCAATTTGTTATTAAACCGTGTCAATACCAAGTTTCAGATATTAAATAATGTATATGTTGAAAGAGAACAAATCCGTATTTGCTTAACATATGCTTTACCCACAAATCACAAGGCCAGTTTTGGCAGTCCTCTTCTCAAGATAAATTCATGGTAAATTTACTCACGATGGGCTCTTAACAATTTAGATCCTCATGCTCATAGTAACATCTGTGGACACTGGTTTGCCCTAAAATCATACTGAATTGGCATTGCACTTGAACATTTAAATCAATTAATAAAAAAAAAAAGACAATTATCTCCTAAATATACTAAATACAGTTAATTTATCAAAAATAATTATTACCTATTATAAATAAGTACTGTATAATTTATATACAAAAAGTTGATTCCCATTAAAAACATAAATGTGAAATTACGAGTTTAATATTATGATATATGGCTTGATTGTTGACTTCTACGACAAAAGAGATGAGATCTAAATGCGCCAAGTTCAATGGTCTCAGACTAAAGTCGTATTTATCAGATAGAAGTTGTCCTTCAAACGCTCCATAATCCTTCCGCGTGTTTGGAATGCCATCTGCGCTCATCCCGTATCCGACATCATAGTAGTTTCAAGCTGTTGTCAGATAGATATCTATACATATAAATAAAATTTGAGTGTCTGTGTGTAATATTCAAATAACCACCTTTTTGCCTCGCACAACCACATTGTGGAATCACCTTCCAGCAATGGTATTTCCGAACCGATACGATATTGAAACCTTCAAGAAAAGAGCTTATTCCTTTTTAAAAGGCCGACAACGTACTTGCAATTCCCCTGGTGTTACGGGTGCTCATGGGCGGCGGTAATCACTTACCATCAGGTGAGCAGCATGCTCGTTTGTACCCTGTGTTATAAAAAAAGTTTTTTACTACATGCATATGAATATATATACCTACGATACATACACCAAAATAACATTTTTTACCATTTTTGTCTGTCTGTCTGTTTGTTCCGGGTAATCTCTGAAATGGCTAGACCGATTTTGACGGGACTTTTATTGGCAGGTAGCTGATGTAATAAGGAGTAACTTAGGCTACTTTTATTTTAGAAAACTAAAGTTAAATTCCACGCGGACGAAGTCGCGAGAACAGCTAGTTATACATATATTATGCTGGTTTCATTTTATTTTAATTTATTAGAAACCAAGGGTGGTACAATTTGTATTTACATAAATGTATCTGTCCAACTTTCATAATACTGTAAAGGATAGCTGCGGAACAGAATTAGAATAGCTTGAAATAAAAAAATCTGTTACAGAAAATAGTGAATAAAAAAGCAAGTATGTAATAGTAAAAACAGTAATTTAATAAAAAAAAACACACTGGTGGTACATTATTACATAACTATCATATTATACACAACCAAAACGTGATGAGTTGTATGAGAGTATCTATTGAGAGATTACATTTAACCTCATACTTCTCAAATACAATACCCATACAACATAATAAATAACTGTCTAGCTGACCCTCGCAAAATTCGTCTGCATCACAATCCCAATTTACGTAAACTTTTTAAATTATAGACTATGCGTTATTCTGATATATATCTATATAACTGAAAAGTTTCATCAGAGTCTATTCAGTATTTTTGTGTGAAAGAGTAACCAACATCCATCCATCATTACTCAGAAACTTGTTTGTAATATTAGTAACACAATGGAATGATGCACTTACAAAATAAGTTGCTTGGCATATGCCATAGGTGAGAGTGAGGTATGATTATGACTTTATATAATGTAATTTTAGTGAATATGTAATGTCAAAAAGTGTCCATTTTAGTCCCAATGCTACAATTCCTAGTAGAATTTTTGACCATAAATGAAAATATGAATGAGGATAAATAGAATGTAATTTCTGTAATGTTTAATAATGCTAAATCTATAACTTACTACCCACAGTAATCAAGTAATGATATTTATATCAATTGAACATAAAATTGGTCAATAAATAGTAATAAATAAGTCTATATATCTATATATAAAATGCAATAAGTTATAGACACTATCCCAATTAAGAGTGATAAAATAGGAATCCAGTACTTTTGTAACCAATTTCTATCATCTTTGGTAGCAACAATTTTCTTTTCCTTATATTTCTTCTTCTTACCACTCAATTTCCACTCATACTCAGCTAGTTCCTTGCGATTTCGTTCTTCTTCCAACTCTTTCAGTCTTCGTGCTTCTTTCTCTGCTTCTAGTTTTATAACTCTCTTTTTCTCTTCACAGGATTTGTCACACTGAACTTTCGCTTCTCCATTCTTCACAATGTTACAAGGGAATTCCTTCCTTAAATTCCCACAAGAACAGTGCACCTTGGTTTTCTTGGTGCAAATCTGTGCTTGTGAACATTTACCAACATGACAGGTATTGCGACAGCGATGTCCACATTCCAAGTTCTTGGGGCACTGCTGGTTACAAGATAATGTCTCATCAGTTGCAACGGACAGCTCTCGGCAACGTAAGTATAGTTCAGTCAATCCACAATTGCAAGGAACTCTTTCTAATACATCACAAGGAGGACAAGGTCCTGGATGGCATCGACGAATAGCACACTTGTGTGTGCACTTCTTTGGACGGTTCATGATACATTCTTGTTCACATTGCTTACAATTATAAGGCACATTTGGATACTCCGAATTGGTAGAGTATAAATGACAGAGTAATGCACAAGAGTGATTACCACAAGACAATGGCTTTTTACATTCACGGCCGCAACATCGACGTTTAGCAGAATGACAAGGCTGTTCTTCTGTCTCATGTTCACCAAAGCATATGACAGGGACAGGTGTATCACAGGGGGGACAGTCTAGGTTAAGAATTTTGGTCTTTGGTGGCTCTATTTCCCAAGGTGTAGCAGGTTTCTCCACTTGTTTGAACACAACAGCCACAAATGCATGGCATGTTGCTTTGCACTTATGTGTGCAGTTAGGATAAGATTTATAACATATTGCTTTACAGGGAGGACAGTCTCCAAAGTGGCAAAAGTGTTTGTTCTCATCAATATGTCCACATTTGTATTTAAATTTGCAGGGTAAATGACATTTCGGTGGTTTTATATGCTTTTCCCTGCCACATGGAACTGTGACATATGTTTCCTTGCATCTGCAGGTTATTTTCGATTCTCTTGGACATGGGTAACAAGGCCCATGGTGGCAGACCATAGTGCATTTGTGTCGGCCACACTGTAATGGTTTGTCACATACTTTTTCACATGGGGGGCAGTTTCCATTGCAACATTTTCTTGCACAGGCGTGTTTGCCACAGGGCCTGGTGCCACGGCATTTTGTATCACACTTATAGTCTTTGCTACAAGGTAATGATCGAGTGTGTGCACTGCATTGGCATTTCTTCTGTATCAACACTTGGCATGGTGGGCAAGGACCTTTATGGCACTTTTCAGGGCAACTGTGTTCACAGTCCGCATGTTTCTTGTTACATGTGCCTAAACAGGTTTCCATTATATCTGGACATTGTACATATCGCTGGTCAGCTCCACAGGGACAGGAACGTAAACCGGAATAGGGGCATGTACCGCATGAGCCTGAATGGCATACCTTGTCACACTTATGGTAACCGCATGAGAAAGGCTTACTGCAGGTCCGTTTGCACTGCCAAAATGGACTGTTGCATGGTCTTTTTGTCTTTTCCCGGCCACACTGGCATGCCTGCTCACTTGTGTAACTACATGGGGGGCATTCATTTTCATGACAGATATTTTCACACTTGTGCGAATTACAAAGCAGTGATCTATTGCACCGTTGACTACAGGACCATTTTGCTGCACTACACCTGACTCTCTTACGTTCCTTCTCACAGTAACATGCTCCGTTAACAGTCTGTGGACACGGCGGGCAGGGTCCAGGGTGGCAGAGTAACAAACATTTATGCTTGCAGTTTTCACCCAATGATAATCGTTTGCCACAAACTTCTCCACATGAATGTGGAATCAACCAAGCATGTTGCGGTGGATTGTCAGTGTTGCCACAAAAACATCTGTATTTTCGCGGTATTTCTTCTTTGCTGTACGAGTGTCGACATTTCGGACAACACCACTCAACTTTTTTGGGAACAAATACAGAAATAGGACCGTGGGTTTCCTCGCTTCTTAAACTTATACTATCGTTTGACCATTTTTGAATACAGAGTAAGTGAAAATAGCAGTGACAGTCTTCACATGCCCAGATGGCATCAGCTCGCTTGATAGAACCAATACAAATAAGACAAGTGACCGGTCGACCGCTGATCGCTTCTTCCAGCATATTCTTGGTGCGGTTCAGCAATTGTGAGTCGCCACCTCCTCTCCAATATGTTTGGAATACTCCTTCCAGTACACTTGATTCAAAGGGCTCCTCATCTTCAGAGGAAGAAAGATCCTTCATTTCTTTCAAGTGTTTCTGGACATTTTGTTGCAATTTTGCAGCTGCGTCACGGTACCTACGCGCCATGATTACGTGGTTGTTATTTTATAATGAATATAATTTATATTGGTTAAGAAAAATGTGGGAAATGTAAGAATGAAAATGTTGCAGTTACATAGCTCGCTTACAACAAGTTCCAAATTGGCAATATTAGCATTTGGCATTGACAGCGAGCATGACATTTTAAAGAGTTGTTTTTAAGGTTGCAATATCACGACTTTCTCATAAACATTAATATTAAATAAAACACTGTTCAAAACAGCTGGTTTTATAAAATAATATTAATTAAAGATTTCGTAATTTTATTAACTGACAGTAAATAAAACAAAGTACGTATTAAAGACCTCTATAAAGAAGGCTTTACTCGTTACAATAGTAAACTTACATAATAAAAGACCTAACACTTACTGGCAGCTTCAACATTCGGATAAATTGCAAAAAGTTAATTTGAAGATTGATATTAAAATAAATGATTTATGTATATAGTTATTAAATTAAATTGATTTCCGCTTATTATTACATAACATTTTAATTATTTTATTTCAAACAAGCTACTGGCTTTGCCCTTCCTCTTGAATCAGAATCATCTATGGAAAAAAACCACTTCAAAATCCGTTGCGTAGTTTTAAAGATTTAAGCATACATAGGCACAGACAGCGACAGCGACTTTATTTTATACTAAGTAATGATATAGCAGTTTAGAAATTACTACGTGCTTAATATAACAATAAACCCATTTAGGAAAAACATATTAGTGCATTTTTATTATAATTACATTCTAAATTTGATACTCCAAATATAGATACGCAATAAAAATATATATATAATAAAGTGCACTGGCAATAACAGTTTCCACAATGTTTGCCTGTATATTACTATACCTACTATTGTGATCTATGGCTAAAGAACTACAGAAACACTGCATTATATATTCAGTCATGCGTTAAAATGTGTTATAGAACTGATAGAAACTGCAAACAAGATGCCCAGATGATGATAAGTGATAACTTATGCTATATAAATTAATAGCACTACAAACCATATGATAATAAAATGCCCTGGTTTTTTTTAATGCTTTATTCATGACCATGGATACAAGTCCTTCAGTCGAATACATTACTATTCATTTGTTGCCATTTAGGAAGTTTACGATGTCACGCCACATATCCTGTAATAATTGTTGTAACTGGCCAGTGTAGTAGTGTATTCAGTTTTTTTTCTTTATCTTACCACAGATAATATAATATTACATGTACAGTGCCTTTTAACACTAAAATTTTATCTATCTGTAACTTTGCTGCCTTATTTTGACCTATAGCTTATAAAATGTTACAAAGCAATCTGCTTGACAACTAAAATAGGTGATATAGCAAATAAGAAAAACATTAAATTTAAGACATTTTATTTATAATTCACATTACAAATACATTAAAATTTCTTCATATAAATTTATTATTATGATTTATTCCGATCTATTTAATATATAACGTGTCAATTCCTAGAAATATTAATTTAAGATTAAAATGTAAAGAATATAATAATATCAATTGAAGATAATTTGTAGAAAAAAAAATTATCTCCAATTGGAACTTTTTAAAACAATGCAAGTAGGTATTAAAATCTATTAGTACAGTGATGGAAGCATTTTATTACGTAAACTTAAATATTAATATGACTATTTATCACATTTCCGTAAAGTTGAAAAAATTGTAGATCGAGAAGATTCTGTACACAATGAAGAGCGATCTCAATTACATTTGTATTTATGGCAATTTATGAGGAACGACAAACAATAGTTTAACTGTGGCATAGAGAAAGATTTTTTTTCTATGGTAGTGCACTGCAAACAGCCCTTAAATTCTTTATGGCGATAAACTTATGTGATAATGCAACCTTACGGAAAATTTCTCGCATTAAGAAAATGGTAACATTAAAGTGATCATGGCACTTTTCTTTGTAACCACAATTGTTAAAATCTTATATTATTTATAGCACCCAGTTTCTTCAATTACTGTTATTCGTGATAATGTACGACACTGTATTATTGTAATCCTATAGCTAACCATTTCTTATAATTATATAAATGTGTGAGACTAATTTTCAAGTTTGTCTATGAAATGTCACTTAGTTGGTCTATTAGCGATGACATTTATTGCAATGGTAACATAATTTCACTGAGATGGCGCGAAGTTCAAAACTGTTCTATTTTCGCAGAACAAGCTACTAAATAAGATTCTGAATTTGAATATTAATTTAACGGACCCTAGTATTAATTTCTTGTTTTTTATTTTTGTTAGACAGTTTAAACCAGCCAGCCTTTTTATTGTTGTCTTTCGGCATTGAAATCGAACGTGAAACTCGTTCGCGACTATCACGGTTTAAAATTTCGCTCGACTGACTTTTTTTGCCGTCTCTAGATACCGATTTGCGTGATAGTGTTGTGTTTTGGTCAAGTTCTCTACGTTTCTCCGGTTTTCTGTATAGTGTTGTACTGGAGCTTGTTAGTCGATTGTTTTGTGGCTTCCTAGTCAAGGTTGTTTGGCTGAAAGACTTGTTCTTTTGCAGTGTTGGCCTGTCTTCAACATGATTTCTGGTCGTGGTGGTTTTTTTGGCGGGAATCTCTTTTGGTTTCACTTTCCTTGGTCTCTGAGCGTAATGGACGTCGTGTTGATCGTTGTAATGCCTTGGAGTCCATGGAGCGAAAATGGAAAAGCTCTTCGTGGTGCTACGGACTTGGATATTAGAGGAGTTGACCGAGGATACGTCGTCTCGTGAACGGTTCCGTGTCAGTCTTCCAGGGTCAGGAATATCACCAACTGAAATAATAATTAGAATAGTGTTAGAATTATGGATGACTAATTCGCACGGATGCATTTATGGACAGCCTTCATGGTCTAGCAGTTTAGCACACCGCCTTACTTCCGATGGTCGCGAGTTCAATTCCTCACACGGTACAAACATTCGTATTCATGAGTATGATTGTTTGTATGGTCTGGGTGTTTTTTTTATGTATATTATAAAAAAAATGTATCTATTGACCATCAGTTGTCTAGTACCCATAACACAAGTTTTGCTTAGCTTAGAACTAGTTGGCCTTGTGTCAATTGTCGTTGTGACAATTCACTAGGAATTTATGATGATGGTTTTTAATGGGAACCGCATGGAGATCAGGTTGACCTCCATGCAGTTCTTCTCTGAAACCAGCAATCATAGCTATATACTGGTAGCAATGGGGTGATTAGTCCACATTACTAACGATCCCCCTTCACCCAATTGTCTTGGTGTATTATTCTTTATATTATTTGAGAGGAGGTGCGAATGATCATTCACCAGTGGTTGCGTGCAGGTAGACGACGCTCCGTTGTGACTGGTGACTGGAGTCACCCTCTGTGCTGCTTTCCCCGGAGTTGGTACCAGGCGTGCGGCGACGGTGCCTGCAAATATGCAACAGTACTGAAGAAACCAGAGGTTGACTGTAAAAATTGGTCTGCGTGAGTACCTCAGTCACAGCTGTGTTTTAGTTAGGGTGCAGATTAGCATATATGGTTACAAGGATAAATTAGAGATATGTCGTCCAAAACTAAATTATTATAACGTTTATACAATACATATATACGCGAAAAAAAAGTTTTGTACCCCTTTTTACGAAAATCGCGAGGACGGAGAAGTATGAAATTTCGCACTCTTACGGTTTATATAGAGGAAATGCAGAATGCTAATATTTTCTCAAAAACATGCATAAAAATAATTATGTAAATCAATAAAAAACACATTACACATACTACCATGTAATTGTCACATACACGCATATATACTCTTTTGTTTATTGTTTAAGTTTGTTATATTAATATCTATTGTTTGTTTTTAATATTGTTTGTCTATTGTCTTATTGAATGTTAAATTAAAATTGTTGCTAAAATGCTAAGTTAAATTATTTATGGTCGATATTCGACCACTGCCGACCACTAGTTGATATAATTTAGTAAATGATATAAATATTGTATTTTTTAAATATCAGCAATATAACCTAAAAAAATGTATATGAAAATGTATATTATAAAAATGTAGGGCATATTTCATAATTCAGTTTTTACATCTCCTCAAAGAATATAATCACCCAACCTTGGAGGATCCATAATAGTATAATTTCCTATTCCTACTACAAAATGTACGATACGATACATACTTCATATCCCTGCTGAGTTCCTGGTTGCTGGTCCTCAGTTCCGACGAGCTGCCCCTATCATCCTTCCTGTGTCTCCTCACATCATTCCTGCTCCCCATCAGGGTCTTGGAGCTACTGTGACTCCTGGACCTCTCATATGGACTTATAGGGGGCTTCATGTTCACCTTCCTGTCAAACTGGCTCTCATTCTCCGAATTGCTGTGAATCTCTGAAATGTTCTGCAAGTTTCTTTTGTAATATCTATTTTTTGGTGACTCACTCTTGTCTTCTCTCTGTAGATTGGATAGCGAGTGACTTTTATTCGATAATTCGCTGTGATCGACTTCATCGATACCAGTACTCGAGTTCGATATAGTTTTTCTCAGTGTGCCATGACTTTTTACGGGATGGCTCTTGGTTTTGGTGACCGTTTGCTTCACGTTTATATCTGAATCCGCATCTGTATCACCAAAGAATCGCAGGTTTTTTGCTGGTGAATTGAGCGGTTTAGTAGTCTTGGACCAGGCTTTCCTTGTGGATTCATCTTCTGTTGTTATAACACTTTCTTTTTCACTCTGAAATGTAGTGTTAAAATAATTACTGACATGACTGAATAATTACAGACTGATTATTTAATTGAAGTAGTGCTAACCGGTGGTTTGTATTCACACACTTAAGACTTAAATTGTAAAGTACGAATAAAAATTATTTAAAAGAGCAATACACAAGTTCCTTGCTCGTTCTTCTTGTGAGGAGACAGCTTTCCGAATGAGCGGTAGATAAAAAAAATGTGATTACTATTCAAAAGTGCTTCAATGTAAGTTTATTTGAATAAATGATTTTCTATTCTATTAGTAGGGTCATCTTTTTGTATTAAAGAGATATAAGAGTTTGGATAATTATTGAATAACTAAAGTACTCAAGATCTGCCATAAAGATTGGTGATGAGAGTGATGCCTCCAGTGATGGAAGAGTTGATCATTGCATACTAAAACGTGACTATGTACTCTATATCGACGTTGCACCTGCATCCTAAGCACTTTCTGAGTAAATGGTAAAACAGATAGATGGATGAGAGACTAGATGAATTTATTTTATCCAATTCGGTGCTGTTTCGCGCAAATCTATTTCCATACTTAATAGATTTGTATTATTTTGTGTAATTCTGCTATTATTAGCATATATGAGATTATAAAGATTCAGTGTAGAACCCTGACCACCGCCACTGGAAAGTTACGACCTACCACCTACTAGTGATAAAATTCCGACTGTTATCGGATCTACCTGTACCGCTACAAGTATTTCGTCTCTAAACGAGGCAATGAATAGAGTTTGGATATAGTTTGGACCAATGTTGACTTGGCTTCCAAACTATATCTAAACTCGTTACATGCAACTAGATGAATAATGAAATGGAAGAATGAAGGGATGAATAAACGGATGAATATACAAACTACTGTTCAAGTAAGGGTCTGTTCAGATTACAACCAATAATCAGTCAATTTTCTTTTTAAAAAATTGCAATAGCTCTGCTGGTGGTTACACTTTTCTCCTTAATTTGAATTTAAAAATTAATCTGTATTTTGTATAAACTCATTTCAAAACAATAAGAGCCAACTTTCTTGTCAGTTCTTCTTACTCGAAAGCATACTGAACTGACGGTAAATTCGACATATCATAAGAGTCTCTAATGGACATACAAGAATAAGCAATATAATGTTAATTTCAGGAATACATTACCTTTGTATTGACACTCTTCCCTCGTTTTCTAGCCGTGAGTCTGTCCAGTGATTTGAACCAGTTGCCGGCGGAGGTGGCGGGGGGTGGTGCGGGCTGCCGCCGCGGCGGGGAGGGGGTGGGGCTGGGTGTTGCCAGCCGCCGTCTCTCGCGGTATCTTTCAGCCTGAAAAGACAAAGTTAGAACGTTTTACAGTGGCACCAAATCATATGATTGATCAGAACAACTTTTATAGCTTATTGAAATAAATATATATGACAATGGATTGGCGAAACTGAAACTGGCGGCCTGTTCTAACGGTTTATGCCAGTGGGGCACCAGTGGAGGATGACTGGTCGAGCATGAAGTTAGGTCAGCTAGTCCATCATGTCAAATTAACCTCGTTGGTTTTGTAGTAAAGTTTTTTAATTAATTTAGACTGGCTAGTAGATTATCGGTTAAAAGGTAAACCATATATGAAATGACGTGTGTTAGGCCAGCATGGCAAATTCCCCAGAAAATAACCACGATGGTTGTTTTGTGTTGAATTTTTTTAATTAATTGAGATTCTGACTAGTGGGCTATCGGCGAAAAAGCACACCATAAATCAAATCTATGGTAGGTATATTTTTTGCAGTGATAAAATCATCAGTCAATACTTATATTCAAAGTAATAAATTACCCAACGATATGTAGGTACCGTAAGGTATAATACATATATTGCTCCGTATCTATAATTTGACGGGAGATGATAAAAACATTAAGCTGCTCGTAATTTAACGAAATTACGAGAGAGACGCAAAAAACGTAGTTATGTTTTTATTATACAGGTTTAGAATTTTGTAATATCTTTTTACAAATTGTAAATATACTAGTTACAAGATGTAAACATTACCACTTGTGGATTGAAACCAATGTTTTTTAGTATTCATTTATTTGCATTATAGATATATATACATATATTGTATGTGTGTTGTGACCCTGAAGAGTGAACTCATGGCTCATTAATGTAGAATATTAGGACTTGCGCGTTGGACCAAGACCAGGAGTAGATAGCAAGGAATTGTGGATAAATTTGACAGTTGCAGGGACACATACGAGTCAGCATTACAGCTTATCTCTCACCTTGAGAGTCACATTAAGGAAGCTCAAGCGGAAAGTGAATCTATGTTAGAACACCAGCGGTTGTGTAGTTATAATAACACCTTAGATCTATATTCAGTCCAATTCTTAAAGTACTGTTCGTGACACACTATTATAACGAGCAGACAAAGCTTGGCCGATAAATTCAATATGTCTTTATACGTCCAGTTGTGTGCAAATTTAAATTCCATATAAATCGATATTTCCTAGTAAATATGGATATTATACATATATCCGGAACTCGCCCGCTGTGCAAACACACGCGGGGGCAAGAAACTTATACATTTTCGAAGAGTTGTGGTCTAATGATAGGCGACAAGCGATAAGCGATCCACTGATCTGCATTTCAAATGGATGTTTAAGGAATTGTTTACATGGCTTTTTTTATACTTGAAAAATCCTTGTGTAGGCCCTCCCGCCTCTGTGGAGGAGGAAAAAAGGCGGAAGAATTATGGTGCACCCATCAGAGCTAATGGTTCACGCTGACACCAGCGGAGAATGATAAGATGAGAATAAGGCCAGGTTAGTTTACCCATCGTGAAATATTCACGAGGCATTGATCACTATGGTTTGGGAGGAGGTGAATCTGACATGGTATGTTGCTAGCACTGTGGTCTAACATTTCACATTACTAACAATTCTCTTCTCACTTAATGGATGTTTAAGAATTGATACGCTCGTGTGTGCTAACGGTATACGCTGGCGGGGCTGAGGAGGATATATTAATGTTGGCAATAAAGATTTTTATCAATCTATCTATATAAAAATATGATCATGGAAATACGTTCAGTTCTAACCAAGTACAACACAAATGAAACTCTAAAACATCAATCATCATTTTATCAAAACCTTTTTTTTTATAATACGTTTCCCCGCTACTCGCTGCCACACGAAACGCGGGCTATCTGACCGTTTTTAGAATTCTGTCGCAGGCTCAACTAACATCCTGAGGGGTCGATGCACCCGACCACAGATAATGTATATGTGATAAATTAGAAAAAAAAAGTTTCGTTTACCAACTCGCAAAAGTTTGATAAAATGGCGAAGGTGATAAAATAAACGCGATGAAATTAAATCTGTATAGCTGTTCTTCGTAAATCAGACTTAATTTACAGTAGATAGCTAAAGTATAGGCCAGTGTTATGGGTATTGCAAATAGAGATACATCATAATGTTTGTCATTCATATGTCATATAATATTTGCAAGCATATAATGTAGATGAATTTAGGTTTTATTTTTACTATTGGTCGCCCAGTGGTTGACCAGAATTCTACCATAAATACTTTAAATTATGTTTCTATTTTAGTATAAATACTTTAAAGTATTATTTGAACAATTATTAAGGTTCTATTGTTAGACTTATGTTGTATTTGACGCACACACGCATAGAGATGTGTGTGTGTGTCAAATACATGTTTGTGTTTGTGTGGCAATAAAACTTATCAATAAAACTTTATTGATGTAATGTATTTATTTGTATGAATAAAAAAAAAATAACATTCTACACTCCCTTATATAAATTATAAATGTGCGAAATTTCATACTCTTCCGTCCGCGGAATGTTCGTAAAAAGGGCTACAAACTGCTACTGCTTCGTATTAATATACATATACTAGCTGTCCCGGCAAACGTTGTTTTGCTATATAAATTAATAACGCTATAAAAAAATAGGGGATGATGATAGAAGGGTGAAAATTTAGGATTGTATGTATTTTTGTATGTTGTATCATAAAAAAATAGAAACTAAAAATTTTGTCTAAAAAATAAAATAAAAAATTTAGGGGTGGACTACCCCTAACATTTAGGGGGATGAAAAATAGATGTTGGCCGATTCTCAGACCTACTCAATACGCTCACAAAATTTCATGAGAATCGGTCAAGCCGTTTCGGAGGAGATGGGAACGAAAACTGTGACACGAGAATTTTATATATAAGATTTGAATTTTTTTTTTAATACCTGTGCGAAGCCGGGGCCGGCTGCTAGTGTTCGAATAAAAATATCAGAAGGCAAGACAACATGCAGGCGGAACTAAAACGCAAGGTTGCCACCTCATATTGACATATGGTTAGCAACCTTCATCTACATAATCAACTTTACCGAAAAATACACGAGAATCGTAGATGGTTGAGAGGATAGGTGATTGTTTGTTAGGAATGTGGACTGATGACCCGATTGCCAATAATGTACCATGACAGGTTGACTTCCACGCTGTACCACTGGAAACCATCGTGACAAATTCATGAGGAATTAGTAAGTTTTTTGCTAAAGTAATATCAATAAAAACAATGACTATTAGAATAGTATTTTATTGACTCGTCTTGATACCACAATAATGACAAAAAAAAATACAAGCAACAATTTACACACATTACAAAACAGAGTCAACACCACAACTCTGCAAAATGCTGGAAACATAGTTTACAGCGCTGATTGAATATCAGTAATTCAAATAGAGCCTTCTAGTTTCATGCTAAGCAGAGCTTGTGTTATGGGTACTAGACATATATAATATAAATACTTAATGGCATGTTTTTGTAAATCCATAAATAATATACATAGAAAACACCCAGAATGATACAAACAATCATACTCATGAATACAAATGTAGCGTGGAAACGAACCCGCGACCATCAGACGTAAGACGGTGGACCAAACCGCTAGACCACCGAAACCGTCAAGTGTTACGTTTAGAGTTTAGTGGTAACTTTTCTTACAATTTTACGGTACTTTGATGCAAACATAAATACCGGTTCTAAATACCATCTGGCGTAGTACAATATTGACATGTTGACCAATTAGCTGGTAAATGCTAATGTTCAGCGACCAGGTTCCGTTTTGAACTGGTCTATGGTCAGAGGTCACTACAAATTTGGTTATGACGACCAAGGTGTTAGGGACCCGTCTAAAAATCTGAACTTTGCCATTTTTTATGCCACCTGATACTTAAAAAAGGGAGAAACGCATATGACAGATATATATATCTTAGTAGTATTATAAAAAAAAAAATTAATCCAGTTTTCAGCAATAGTGATTCGCATTCAGTGATAATACATGCGTGTTATGGTGTAGAACAAGCCGAGAAATATCAAAGATTTGTAATACATCCGTGCGAAGTCGGGGCGGCTTGTATAATTAAAAATACCAATTAGTATCCAGTCAACATTGTAATCTACACAAATAAATGAAAAGTTTTTATAATGATTTAAATCTCAGAAACGGTTGGACCGATTTTGACTGGACTTTTTCTCGCAAATAAATAAAAGTTATAATGATAATTTCGTTTACTTTAATTTTACAAATTCTATTTATTTGAATAAAAATAAAGTTTAATTTCAAGAGGACGAAATCGCAGGTAACTATTTAATTTTATAAATTTTATTTATTTAAGTTTAATTTCAAGAGGACGAAGTCGCAGGTATCATATAGTACTATATAAATAAAGGTTACAAAAGTCCAAAATTTTCAATGTTCAAAAGCCAGACCTCCCAGCGGGTCAACAGCCTCAGAGTTCAATGTCGTCTACTGACGTCACTCCCGCCTCCATATCTTATTTGCGCGACCACCAATTCAAATTAGCAACATTAATATTTTTGTATCAACTAGTGGTTGCTCACAGGTCGACCAAAATTCGAACATAATTAATATAACATTCAGTAATACTATAGAGAAATAAAATTAAAGACAAGCAATATTAATCCATACTCAATTTGGCCACAGACTTTAACAATAAACAATAGAGTAATTATATGCGCGTGTGTCATATATGAGTATAAGATAGTGAGTGTAATGTTATTTTTTATTAATTACATGTATTTTTATGCATAATTAAAAAAATATTAACATTCTGCACTTCCATCCCTATATAAAGTAATAAGTGTGCAAAATTTCACACCCCGCAATTATCGTAAAAAGGGGTACAAAGTTTTTGTTAGCCTTTACAGAACAAAACAAAACAAAGTCGCTTCCGCTGTGTGTCGCTTAGATCTTTTAAACTACGCAATGGATTTCAATGCAGTTTTCAGCAATAGATTCAACAGGAAAGTTTATATGTATATAGGGGCACCCGTGACGTCGTCCGCGTGAAATTTAACATTATTTTTCTGAAAAAGATTTTTTTAAAAATAAAAGTAGCTTAAGTTACTTCATATTACATCAGCTAACTAGACTAGACCAGTCAAAAAACAGTCCCGTCAAAATCGGTCCAGCCATTTCAGTGCTTAGCAGGAACAAACAGACAGAAGGTCAGACAAAAATTGAAAAAATGTTATTTTGGTGTATATATGGTATATACACCATTATATTTATATTCATATGCTTGTAGTAAAAAACGGTTATTTCAATGTTACAAACAGACACTCCAATTTTATTTATATGTATAGATATATCCATGCGAAGCTGGGGACACATGTTACAAAACCAGAAGTTTGTCAAAAATAGTTGAAATATAGGTACAGGCAACTTTGAACAAAGTGTATCTTGTTTGATTGATTCAATGCTTAGCTTTGAATCAATAGGTAGTGACCGATGTAGGAACGTGCATGGGACGAATTATAATTTTGTACAGTTGTGTACAGATTTCACAATCTATAAATTTTATGTGTATATTTTGTGATTTCCAATTAATAGATTTTCAGTAAATTCATATAAAAGTATATACTGTACTTACATTAAACTGTCTAATTGTCCTTGCTAATCTCTGAAACGGTTGGACTGATTTTGACACAACTTTTACTCGCAGATAACTAATGTAATGAAGAGTAACTTAGTGTACTTTTATTTTAGAAAATTTTAATAAAAGTTTAATTTCAGACGGACGAAGTCGCGGGTAATAACAGGTACTCTATTAATAACTTTTATAAGTTAATACTATTCAAGCAATTTCTTTATATTTTCTCACCACTCAAACCTTCCTTAAAATTTTACAAATATTTCAAAACCTAAATTTACCAAATCGGTCCAGCCGTTCTGAGTTTTGGTGAACTATCAAGTGTCATTTCATTTTTATATATAAGAAGAAGAATTTAGTAATAATTATTTAAATATACACTTAATACTTCACTAAACAACTGTCCAACAACTGAACACATTGCAAAGTGCGAACACGAACACGTAATTCATGTGAACTTGCTCACTACTTACTTAACGTTTATTTAAGACTAATAGCTCTTACAAGTGAGTACAAGGTGTTATTGAGATGCATATACACATATAAATTGACAAACAAATCGACTGCTGAACACTAAACGGTGATTATTCACTGACGACCTCGGTGTTTTAGCGGCTTAGCAACTCGAACGATCGCAAAATTCAAACTAGGTGATTCGAGCAATTCAAAATTCGGACATATCGAACCATTGGAACCATTGGAAGTAAGATGACCTTCCTTCCAAAGTTCGCGGGTTCAATACCTCGCACGGTACAAACATTTGTATTCATGAGTATGATTGTTTATGTCGCGGTGTTGATAACAACTATCAAAATGCATTTTGATATTAGAAAACTGTCAACAAAAAATATAGGCAACGGTTACAATCTAAAAAAATAGAGTAAAAACAGTCTTAAGCTACTGAAATAAGGTTCAGTATCACATAACTTAACAATAAACATAATAAAAAATAACCGTGAGAAAAATTATGTAATGATTTTGTTTTGATAAAGTATTTAGTGGCATTTTGTATACATAATTGTTCAATGATTTGCTAAAACGTTAATGTACACTTCTTTTTATTTTATTATTTAATTATAACATTCTCGTGTCACAGTGTTTGTAACAAAACTCCTCCAAAATGGCTTGACCGCTTCTTATCAAATTTTATACGTATTTTCAGTAGGTCTGAGAATAGAACGTAGGCTATTTTTCATAACCAAAACTGATAAAATATTCCATAAATAAAATTACATCATACTCATGAATACAAATGTTTGTATCGTACAAGAATCAAATCCACGAACATCAGGCGTATGATTGTTTGTATTGGTCTGGGTGTTTTCTATGTTTATTATGTATGTACTTACAGAAATATAATTACAAATGTGTATTATGTATATCAGTTTTCTAGTAGGTACCCATAACACAAGCTCTGCTTTCATTGGGACTACATGACGTTGTGGGAATTGTGCCAAAAATGGTTCATGGTACATATTTATTATCAGTTGTCTAGTAACCTGTGTTATGGATACTAAATAAGTAATATATAAATACTTATTTATTTTGTAAATAAAAAGCTCTGCTTCGCTTGGGACTCGATGGAGTTGTGTAAATTCTCCAGGGATATTATTATCATAATATTAATACGTGAAGCAAAAAAGTCTGTACCACTTTCTATGAAAATTGCACGGACAGAGAAGTATGAAATTTCTACGTGGCGCTATGTGAATTCTCCTGGGTTATGACTATTTTGATTTGATTTCATGATTTATTTGTTTGTTCCATACAAATATTATTTGCATCGCAGATCGGTGGCCCACACTACGCCCACTGCTGGGTTGGGCAACTGTTACGTTATGTTTACCTAATGATCCGCTTTTGTGGAGTTGGCAAATGCATTGGTACTTATATTATTACGTTATACATCAAATGTGGGCATGTCAAGTGCTGCGTTCACTTATGACTGAGACGTCTGACAATACCTCTGATTACCCCATCTCATATATAAGTCGTGACGATGCAATACAGTTGTCTAGCGGTTAAGTACGCTGAAGAATACTTTCGTAGGATGCAGGTTCGATTCCTCATACGATGCGATGTCATTCAGTATTTGTGAGTTGTTTAGTACCCATAACACAAGCTCTGCTCGCACAACTAAGCTCGGGACGAGATGGCGTTGTATGAATTATCCAGAGTAATTATTATTTAAACAAAAAAATAAAATGAATGTGTATGTTTGTAATTTCAGTCTAACACTTTGCTAAATGTATATGAAACTACATACGGTTTCAAATTATTGTCTATTTGTTTAATCTTGCCTAATTTCTAAAACGGTTGCAACGGTTTTGACGGGACTTTCATTTGCATATAGCATAATATTATAGGTAGTAACTTAGGCTACTTTTATTTCAGCATATTCTTTACTTTAATTCCACGCGGACGAAGACACGGGTAACAGCTAGTTATTAATAAATATGAACATCTTTGTATTAAAATTACGTTGAAGATTACAAAATTTGTCATAGTTAAAGCTTATATGGAGGAATTAAGAAAAACAATGTTTTTTCAAAATAATAAAAAAAAAATTAATGTCATAAAAAAAGTTATGTTCATAACTCTATACATATATATTTTTTATGACAATGATATGCTACACCCGTCTCTGCTAACAGTATATGCTGGCGAGGCACCACAGAGGATGATAGGATAAAGATGTGGTGAGGTCAGTTAGCCTTAGAGAAATTCCTGGTGAATTTGCTATGATGGTATCCAAAGAGAACCATATGAAGGTCAACTTGCCATGGTACATTGCTGGCAATGGAACCACTAGCCCACGTTACTACCAGTTGCCGCCTTATGTACATATATATTGTATGACAGTCTTTCGCAATAGATCCTAAAAATGGTAGGTGGTAACTATAGCATGGATAGGGAAGGGAATTGTTAGTAATGTGGACTAATAACCCTATTACTAGCAATGTACCATGTCAGGTTGACCTCCACGTGGTTACCCCTGGAAACCATCGTTATAAATTCATCATGAACGTACCACGATTGGCTAACTGATCTGACCTCATGCTTATCATCCTCCACTGGTGCCCCGCCAGCGTAAACCATCAGCGCAGGCGGATGCATCATTCCATTATCATCCATAAGAAAAAAATGGTAAGGTTGAATTTCGACCACTAGCTACCACTAGTTTTAATAAAGTATCAAATTACGTCATACTATAGGGAGTGGCCTACGGGAGCGAGCGGAAAGCCTGTTCGTGCATTACTTTCACTTTTGTTTAGAACCTGTGACGTCACAATTCATAAGCGTAGGCGGACGAGGTAGCGATATGAATCTGCGAACGTGAATTTATTACGTCTGGTAGCTACGGCTTAGTTTAGATAAAGTTAATAGATTCATTATAGGATTGGGATTTAAATTTTGCAATAAGTATCTTATTAAAATTTGAGTGAAACCGCGGGAATACCTAGACTATAAATAAATATATTAAAATAGCTTTTGAAAAGAAATTATATATCCAATAAATTATTTAAACGAGCAAACGCAAGTTTCTAATTCGTGATTCTTGTAATATATATCTTTCTGAATGAGGGATAGATTAAACAGAAAGTCTGACTATTGAAAAGTGCATCAATTTAAGTTAACTTAAATAAAGATTATTTCTATTCATACTTACCAAAGCAGGCGAGTCAAGTGGTCCAGCCGTTCTGGACCTCGACTTTCGAAGGTCACTTTCAGCGTCTGACGGTCTGGAATGGTGGTCACTCTCCCTGTCCGATGAGTGGTATCGTCTCTTTTCTTCTTTACGTTCCTTGTATCTTCTGTCCTCTTTCAAAGTTCTATCGTATCTATAAATCAAGAAATACTTGAGGTTGCAAATGTTTAAGTTTGTTTTTAAAATATTGAGTTATTTTGAACATTGAGTGTGTTTAACTGAAACTTCTGGAAATATTTCATAATACATGAAAGGTGAAATAGAAATAGAAATAGAGTCTAAAAAATTAAAATGTAAAGAAGCATTTTACAACTTAACAAAGAACCTTAATATATAGCAGATATAAAAAATTTAAAAGTATTTTTAATTTATGTCTAACGTACAAAAAAACTTTACAATATTATACAAACTGAAGCAATTACTGTAGAGATTAAATTCTTTATTTAAATTAATTACAGAAGAATCTTTTCATGAATGCTGTTGTATTCTGATTGAAGATTTTGTTGTAATGAAGATCCTTCATATCAACAAAAAAAAAATCTGAAATGTGTACCTTCCATTGTAATCCATATCCCGATATTTTCTCTCGGGACTCTCTCGGGGATCGGAACTCCGGTACTTGTCCAGATCTTCTCTGGAATTTCGGAATCTCCTCTCGTCTGCTTTGCATTCGTAGTCTATTTTCTTTACGACGATATCACTCGGCTCAGGGTCGGTGTACCTCACGAGCAAGAAAAAAATGGTAAGGTTTGTATTTATTAGATGATTAAGAAAACCAGTTAGATTATGATAGAACAAACAGTAAAGTTGTTATTGATACATTATGTATGTATTTAATAATCATATCAGTTGGCTTGAGAATTGAATTGCGACTTTGAAGTGGCAATGGGCAGGGCACATAGTAAAGTCCTCGAGAAGCACCACAGACGTCACATCGATTCTGGTCAAGATCGCTGGAAGGCAAGCAGCGCAGGACCGATCGTGATACGTACGGTGACAAGCATTTGTATTCATGAGTATGATTGTTTCGATTGTCATTTCATACTCACATGGTTTCAACGTTTATAATACTAGTTGATTGGCGGCGGAATATAGAGACAGAATTGCACAAAAAAACGAACTCAGGACCACGACCATTGGATAGTAAAGCAAAAGTTTGTACCGTGCTAGGAATCGATCCCACGACCATTGGATATAAAGGGGTGTGCTAAACCACTAGACCACCGAGGCTGTCGGTAAATAAATCAATAAATGAGTTGAGATTCATATTACCTTCTATACTCAGAGTCATCTCCAGCAAGATGTTCAGGGCTCTTGAGTACCCGGGTGCGAGTCTTCGGCTGGACTACTTCTTTCTCCTTTTTGCTCTTCTTCGAAGAGTCGCGAGAGAACAGCTGTTTCATCTATCATGGAACAAAAATGAGATTATATAACAGTATATTCAGTCTAGATATGTCACTATAACATAACCAATATTATGGAATATAATAATAAATTATTATTTTACACTGGAGCTAGTTATAAACAACAGGTCTACTGTTCAGTCTTGTTGAATATCAAAATCAGTTACATTGCAATTTAATTTGTATTTTTTTTTTAATTCAATTAAGGGTGAAACTGATACATCCAACACAATATGACTTCATTTTAAATTCACGAAATAAGAAACAGATGTGTTGAGAATGTACAATTTGATAATATTATGGAAAAACGTTACATTTTGATGAAGATTGATCAGAATTAGCTGCAATAGTAGATCAAGTCTATTATAGGAAATATTTAAGATAACGCTTGACTTAAATGCAGTTAAACAACATACAACTATATCGATTTATGCAAAAGATCTATTGTATCAAAATGGTATTATTGTTGTATCGTCATAGGTTTTAAGATTAATATCTTACCTTTTCAAGTCCAGATAATTTCTTTGCAGCCTTTGGCGGTTTCGCACTGACTTTATTATCATGCCCGATGGGACTTTTGTTGTATCTGTCAACTCTTGGTTCTAAATGTGATACGTTATCAATACTTTTGTCTCTTGAATATTCTTTTCTGTAACCGTTCTCCCTGAAGTCCTTGAATTTAGCTAAATATTCACCATTGGCGTATATTTGCTCGCTAGGATAATTATCCTCTGTATGTCTTCTTTCACTGGCCAAGAATAAGGATACATTCCTAACGTCATCGTCGCTCTCATGAGGTCTGTACCTTGACCTGTGAAGTTCACCACTTGAGTCTTTACGGAAATCGTTCTCAATTCCGGAATCAACTAAACGATTATCTATATCATAACGCCGTGGAGATCTGTCATCACGATAATATTCTCTGCTATCGCCGGAGTCATGGCGCCTCATTCCAAAGTCTTCTTTATAATATCTGTCTTTATTTTTCCCACGACGTAGAGAATTATGATAAGATTCTGCTTGTTTTGCTTCATAACGAAGATTAGCATAATCATCTTCTCTTTCTTTAGCTATTTCAGGATTTGATGCATAATGACCTTTCCTTTTACCAAACCAGTCATCTTTGACTTTATATTTATGACCAGTATGAAGCATATCATGACTAGAAACAATATTTTTTTTCACTTTGTATTTTTTTTCTTTGTATTCGTCAGGTGAAAGTACGGGTTTTTCTGTAAATTCTAGACTAGGAGGTTCATATTCTGGCTCCGGGGGAAAAACTTTGCTTTTATGTCTAGAATTAGGACCCAATCTATCAATAAACTCTCGCCTATCTACTTCGCCCTGTGGAACTTTTTGAAAAGTTCTAGTTTCAGTATTGTATTTCACTTTATGATTATCCGAGTCATATTTACTATAGTCTTCAGTAATACTATTCTGAGTAAAACCATCTCTTTCTAAAGTCTGTCTGTAGTACTTTGCTGTTTCATTAACATATTTTTCGGTAGCTTTTCTACGCTTTTCTGCCTCATAAATAGGATCAGTCTCAGCTAAATATCTTGAAATGGGCTCATCGGTATTAATTCTTTCTTTTCTATCAAAAATATTATCATTTCGGTCGATTTTTCGAGCATTTAGTCTCGATTCTAAAAGCTTTCGCCTATGACTTAGTTCGTTAAAATCTAAATCTATTTTAGTATTATCATGTTCATACTGTCTTCGCTTAGTATCCATACCATCAGCTCTTCCTCGAAAAGTATCGATAAAATCATGGGATTTATTATTTTCAATGGGATACTCATTTGCATAAGTAGGTTCAAAATCTTCAAAACTTTTTAATTTATATTCTCTATATATTGGTCTTATAGGTGAATCATTATATCCTTCAATGCTATTGTAGTTTTCATTCTCGTTTTTATAATCATAGTCAAAACGGTTAATAGAGTTCTTGTGGCGTTCTTCATATCCCAAACCTTCATCTTCATCAGAGAAATTTCCATATTTTTCCCTTGCTGGGGAGTAAGTTTTATGAATAGTCTGCTTACCAAATCCATTCGTACCAGTGTCTCCATTATCGCGAACTACTTGAGCGTACACCACTCCTTTATCTGTCATTTTATTAACTGGGGTAGGTACTCTATCTGGACTTGTATTTCTCACAAATAAATTGGGATCAGGACTTACACTGGGTTTAATATACGAGAAAGGTTGACTTGTATTAGTACCGTTTGTTGGTGAGATCAAATGAGGTTTTGGAGGAGGAGATAACTGATCTTCTTTTAGTATTCTTACAATGTGATCCACAGTATGCCCTCGTGTTAGGGGTGGTTTATCAGGTGGTTGTTGGCTACTGTGTATCATTTCTTTATCACCATAAATGTTTTCCTCGATTTTTCTAATACTTTCTTTGATTTTTTCTTTAACTTCAAGAGGATGGCTATTCTTTTCTTTGATAGAATCGATCTCATCGACTAAAAGTGTTCTTTTTACGTCTGTTTTGCGTTTAGGTGTTTCTGCGATAGAGGGAGATTTCTCCTTTTCTTTCTCTAACGATTTTCCCCTCTTTGTTCTTATTGGCGGTTTAGGTTCTTGTTTTTCAGGAGTTTTGTATCTTGGTGGTTTTTCTACAGGATTAACTTTTTTATTTTCTGACGCAGAGTTCTGTTCATCAGATATGTTGCTGTCTTTTTGAGATAGTTTTTGTTTTTGAAATACTTCTAGTGGTGGAGTTTTCTTAAAGTAATCTTCCCTTGGAGAGCTCTCAATTATTGGAGATAGTTGAGATTTTTTATTCCTAAGGGACTTCAGAAATTCTTCGGTTTCACTGCCAGATCTTTTACGAATCGGTTTAGTTTGAGGAGTTATGTTGGTGTTAGATTTCAAGTCGGATACATCACTTTTACTACGTTTAACTACTGCAATTGGTTTAGATGTAACGACCACTGATGTATCTGGACTTTTAGTTCTCTGTGCCCTCCTAAATAAAGTTGATAGGGATGTACGTTCTTTTCTTTTTTTTGGATTCACATCGCTGGTTGATCTGCCAAGATTAATTTTCGAGCCTTCTGTGCCGTCGTCGCTGTTTCTTCTTCCCCTATCTTCTTTGAATTTCTTTCTATGTGGCAATGAGAAAAATTTCTCCGGCGGATGATCCGCAGTGCAGGTCACGCTATCAGCTTGTGCTCTTACTTTATTCGCTTCATCAATTAATTCTTGCTTTGTTAAATGGGTGAATGGTTCTTTTCGTACTTGTTCGGATGAGGTGCCCCGCGGTTCACGCGGTTTACCTGAAAGTACAATGAAGTAATCATAATTGAGTATTTACATTTCTGAATAGTGTTATTATGAGTTTATGGTACTAAAGTATGAAGTGTTAATTGAATGAAAATGTAGTAAACTAGGCATATTACATATTATTATATTAATTATTATTACGAACGCACAAGATATTTCAGAAGATTGTACAATAATTAGATAAATTAGTATTAGAGAAAAAATGTAATAATACATTAATTAGATACAGAAATATTATATTACATTAAAAGTTGTAGACCATTAGAAATTACCAAACAAATATTTTATTTCATTATACTATATGTGTTATCAAAAGCTGGTAAGACATCAAAATTATATATACAATTTTTCTGCTGACGGCCCTGACAGTAAGTGCCAAACGTCGTCTATAACATGAACAGCATCAAATACATGACGTCATCAAGTAACGTCCTTGATTGAAATGCACCGCCTTATCTCTGGCCAATGTGACGGTTGACTCGTAGAGTCAGGCATTGAGTCCGCCATGTATATAATTTTGTGTGCAAAGAAATAAATAAAAAATATTCTTCATGCCTGGCCATTTCGATGGCATGCTTTCATATCCTATAATTTACACAATAGATTTATATTATTTCATTTTCAGTTCCGCTACCACTAGCATATACGGGACCTCAAATATTCAATACGGAAACCTGGCCACCGTCGTTACTGAAAGCATTATGACCTTCTCTATGATCAAATTCCGAACGTTACCGCATCTACTCTCATATTGAGACACGTGTTTCGCCTAGGCATCATATGGGAATGGCAACATAAAACGGCACAACGTGCATGGCAATAGTTGTTCATTGGTGGGATTTTCATTTAATATTAGACATATACACCTATATGAGTATACAATGTAAATCTTTTAAAAAAAAAGAAATTCATTACGTTTCTTCCAGCCTGTTCTCAATTGAATCTGAGAAATACTGAACTGGATAAATAAGGATAGGGTAAAAAAATATAATACAATAAAATTACGTCCATAAGCGACTAAAATTTCCTAGATGAATGAATGATTTCTCATTTTGATTTTCAATGAATAGGGTTTTGATATAGTTTGAAAGCCTAGTGTTAACTGTTCGGCGTCCAGACTACGACAAACAAACTCAAATAAATACATTGAGTAATCAATGACATCCGAAAAGTAATACAAAATTCTATAAAATATATCCTATAATTTCACATCTTCTTTTCACAATCGGAAATATACATTACTTTAATGGAAAAGACAGACAAAATAGGTGAGAAAGAGGTACCCACGGAGACAACTTTGGTAACTCTTCCTGAAAATAAAGAACCGAGGATAACGTTGTTAGCATTCAGCTGTCCTTTGTGAATTTAACGACTGTAGGTATTCTTAAACAGGTAATTCTTGACAAAAAGTCTACACGTAAAACGACACCCATGGGTATAAAGTTTATAGTGTAAAGAGTCTGCGTCATGGTGCATCTCTTGATCACGATGTCATGCCTAAATTTAGCCGAACAACTTCAGACGCGCAGTGCGGTTTGGTTTTTATTTAATTACCATTTTGATAAGGTTTTATGTCAAAGCCGGTGTGACTTCTGGCTAATATACTATAACTATTACCTGCGACATTGTTCGCGCGGTATTGATTTTTTTATTATAATAAATCTAATATATAAAAATAAATGTAGCTTAAGTTACTCCTTATAATATTAGTTAATTATATATATAAATATTAGTTAGTCCTTATTATATCTACGAGTCCCGTCAAAATCGGTCAAGCCGTTTCAGAGCAAGAACGCCAAAAACAAACTACCAGACAATAAACTTTAAAAATGTATTTAAGTTCCATACATATTTTCATATATATATTTGATGAAAAACTTTAAAAATACAAACAGCCAATTCAATTTAATTTGTTTGTATAGATTGGTTCGAGTTTAATTTGCATTCGCTTTGATTTTTATTAACCAATAAATTAATGTCAAAGTCTTTATTATAAACAGATACAATTCCGATATTCAGAACATCATGGCTACTTAGTTTGCTACTCCGATTGAAGCTGAAAGGTTGCGAGTTCAAATCCTGACCGATACAATAATTACGTCATGTATGGCGAATGTGGAATGTGTTTTGTATGTTCACAGTACATAGAAGATAGAAACACTCATTGTTACTTCACAAATGCGACACTCAAAAGGATTTTTTTGTTGGCCAGAGATTATTGACTTTTGCTGGGTGAGTAACATGCGTAGGAGTTGAAAACTAAGTGATATCGTACCGATAATGACGCCATCTTACGGTAAAATAAGTTCATTTCTTTTTATGAACAAAGAAATGATCATATATATACTAGATGACCCGGTAAACGTTGTTTTGCTATATAAATTAATATGGCTATTAAAAATAGGGGTTGTTATCAGAAGGGTTGTAATTGTAGGATTGTATGAATTTTTTATTCCCATATCAAAAAAATAAAAATGGTGGTGAGTTTAAAAAATAATAGATATCGAATCAATCCATTTTATAAAAATTGTTTTAAATCATAGTCTATGTGTTATTCTAAAATACAAGCTTTTTATTCCGATGTATAATACTGTAAAGTTTCATCAAAACCAGTTATGTAGTTTCTGCGTGGAAGAGAAACAAACATCCATCCAATATAACAAACTTTCCGTTTTATTAGTAAGATGTTTTTTTTCTTTACTGTATCGAACAAATAAAGTAGGTATATTCTATTTGTCTTTCTTAGTACCCCTGAATGGCCACACGAGATGTACCACGGCCCAGCCAAATTTTAATTAATTTGTTCTAAATGACGCAAGCCTACACGAATCTTTATCAACTGACACTTTATTGGTCAATAAAGTTTAATGGTAAATTGACAAGTTCAAAATCTCACAGTTGATAGCCTTGTCAACCGGTATAACTGTTAATATGTCCCGTTTGACATATTGAACGTTTGGACACCTGACCAGATATTAGTCATTCGTTGTCCAAAAATTATTTATTAATTTAGCGTCATGACCTAGTAGTCCTTACATCGAAAATAGCCAGTTCGAGTCTTGCAGACATAAAAAAGTTTTATGCGTTTATTTATTACTAGGTGTCCCGCGGTTTCACTTGCATGAAGTTTATAACGTTTTCTTTTGATCAAAAACTGTTTAGTAATTTTGAGTGAAAGAGTGACAAACATCCATCCATCCATAATCACAACTTTCGCGTTCATAATATTAGTAAGTTTTTACAGTTTATTTTCGGGAAATATCGTACTTTGTTATTACAAGGTATGGGCAGAGGGACAAATCCAGGTAACGTTGTACAACTTTTTTGTGTAGATACATAATAATAATATCTCAGGGCAATTCACACAACGCTATCTGGACCCAAACTAAGCAGAGTTTGTGTTTTGGGTAGATAGTAGACTACTATACCTGGTTAATATACCTAAACACTTAGGATATATTTTTATCCTTATCAATTCAAATCAAAAATCATTCATTCAATCGCTTATGAATAAGGCTACTAATAATAAAAAATCTGACCATTGTCTAACGTTAATAACGTTTCACACTAGTTAAATTTACTTCAAACAAGTTTGTTTTAAAATTACACGTAACGTAAAAACTCTATTTTCCAAACATAAAAGTAAAAATATGGAAATATGCAGGACACTGGAATTACAATGAAAAAAGTACTTTATATTTATTGTCATAATAGAGAAAGTCGAGTAGAGCGGAGCATGAATATTTATAAATATTTTGAGGGGAACGTCAAGTCTCTGAATAGAGATATAACGATTACTGTGAACTACCTAAATCGTAATTTTATATGGACACACTCCTCTTAGGCACTGAATCTAAGTAAATTCGACTAAGACTTTGGAGGTGATCGTATCATTGGAACAAGTACATTGCAACCTTGTGAATCACGCTATACCACATGTGTAAATAGTATGTATTAATTCAAGTAAACGATGACTATGTTATTACTGTAACGTTTAGAACAATGATATACGATAATATATCATTTAAATCGATGACATACCGCATAGGCTATAAGTTATGCTAATTATATTACTTCTAACCAAAAAGTCGTATGTTCGAATGATGAGCAACACAAAAAAAATTTAGAATCGAATATTATAAAGAGGTAATGTTTGATTGTTGTTTGTTTGTTCGGGGTAATAAATGCTTCTACAGATCTGATTTTTAAAACTCATGCACTGTTAAAAAGATATATTATACCCGAGTATTATAGACTAAGTATATAACATCACGCTACGACCAATATTTATAATATTTTGAGTCCTGCCGCTGCGTGCGCTGCGTCAACAGTTAAACTTAGGCAAAATATGTATGATTACATGTTTTCCATTAAAAGTTTAAAAAACAAACCGTGACAACATATCTATCTTTTAAAATTAACTTACTACATATAAGCATAATATTTTATGGTACCTAATAAAATTTCTTATAAAATAATGCATATTTGCGAATGCGTTTTTATAAACATAATATTAATTTTAATTCAAATAAATACGTTAACAATTGGGGCCGTGTAAAGCAGCGAGGGTTGCTAGTATATATATATATATATATTTAAGCATTGTTAAATGCTTCAGTAGGCAATCAGTAGGTAAAAAGATTAATAATAATTTTCTATTGTTAAAGACTAAATGTATATATATATACATGCACTTTGAGAATAAAACTTTAATATTTCAATTTAAAATTAAAAATGATTTGTTGTCAAATTTTGATCAGCGCATTTATTTTTATTATTGTACAAATTATCTACTTATTCATTGCATTTAACATTCCTTAAAAAACTTACTAGTATTAAAATCACATGTTTAGCTATTCAGTCGTACTTAAAACTTCCTTACATGTTTTTTGGCACGTCTCAAAGGCGCTAAGTGGTTCTAACATTTAAAAGATCGATACACAAAGACGGACAGACAGTCATTAGTGGGCAGTGAACCTTGACAGCTTCCGTT